AATTTTGATACTTTTACTTATGTAGTTTACGTTTGTTACTAATTACATTCAAGTGCTCGCTTTTCGTCAATTTGTATTTTTTCCAACCATGTTGAGGCTAAACTCAAATTTTCACTGTCCAAAATACAACTATTCATGTATTTTCAGGGCTCAAACTGTTTTTACCTCCAACCTTGCACTCATAATTTCAGTCCGCAACTTTATTAAATTGTTTAAGAATGGTTAATTCCTTTTTTTCTTTTTCTTTTTTGCCATTAACTTTTCTTTACATTATTTTTTTTCAATATTCATGATTTAATTTTCTGAACATTTTAACCTTAAAAATTCAAATTCCAAAACATAGTATAATTTCACTTAAAAATAAATGATTTAGGTCGATTATTTAAAAATGAATGGGTATTTATAGAGTTTGGGATAAGTTTTGGGGTTGGATATGATTTAGATTAATTATAAAAAGTATTTAACCATTAGATATAAATTTCAGCCATTGGATGTGAAATTTTCCAGTTGTGATTGCCTATAATAATCATGGACGTTATTCTGATATAGCTTGCGCATTTTATAAAATTTAAATAAATAACCGAACTTCAGCTTTCAAATGGAGCCGTTAGATTCCAACAACTCATTCACCAGCGATTGCTACTTGTCACGCAGAAGCAATAGAGTGGTTGACAACTTTCTATCATGCGAGGCCCACTGGCTTTTCCTTTCACTTGGGCTGCATAGCTTATATTTGGGCTCCACACAAAATTACTAGTCCATGCAATATCCAAACTGGAATTCTGCCCAAGATTCTGCCTTGGCCAAAATTCCATGCCTCAAAATACATGTGTTAGAGATGGATTTTGGGCTCAAAACTCAAAATTTGAGATTCCACCCTTTGGGTTGGAGATAGTCTTATGACGCACAATATCAAGCATTCCAGTTGTGCCAAACTATCTAACAAGTAAGGGTGGGTGCGGTTTAGTTCGGTCTAATTTTTGTGAGATCCTTTTTTTTATTTTTTATAACTATATATATTATTATTTTAACGAAATATTCATACTACATATTCATTATTTATTAATATGACTTTTTCTTATTTAATATTTATTGTGAAGACCTACATGTTATTAAGCCTAGTATAAGATTATTCCTTTAGGTGAAAGATGGAACCATTCTTGTTTTCCACATGTAAAGACTTGGAATTGATCTTAATCAAATCATCATTGACATGCCACCTTGCATGCTAATAACAAGTGGTGTTGCGGTATCATTGGTGGAAATAAATGAGTCACATATTCCTTTAGGATATCATTGGCCAAAGCGGGATGAGTCACATTATTCCCTTAGTTTTCTATCTTATCTTTTCACGGTTTAGAATAAAAACCACGGAAATTGTAAGAAAAACTTGGAAATTTTTATTGAAACTTTGGAGGATGTTTATTTAGTCAATTATCTATTAGTTTATCACAAAAAAATTGGAAGGAAATGCATTGCATGATGGGTTTAATTGATTTAAGTTGATTATATAGCGAGCTAACAAACATTGTGAGTATAGAAATTATGTAGTAATTAATGAAAGAATATTAAACACGCTATAATCATTTATATATAATAATTTACTATAATATTTTACACTTTATACATTCCATAGTAAAATACATGAATGACTTAGTACCACATAGAGTTCCTATAAGGTTCAAATTTTTCACTATTTTCATCATCTCTATGTGTAGATTTCTAGTTTAAAGTATTAAAAAAGTGAAAATAGATGTGGATTCTCTCTAGATCGTTTCAGCTTTTCTGATGGATTAGGTCACATGGGAAGTTTTACTCATCTCTGTCATATTGTTATTGGGACGACTCTTTTAATACTATTACTTCTATTAATCTAATAAAATTTTATTGCCTGATGTGGATAAAATAATAAGAAAGGTAAGAAACAAATCATTAAATAGAAATTCAGTTTTTAATGAAAAAGATGAAGGGAAACGTTAAAATTATTCGAAAACTATATGGCAGCTTATCCTGGGTGGGGCCGACATATGAATTTAATGAATCGAATGGGGAAAAACAAATGCAATGGACAGTAAGTGCGTTTTAAAGTTCAAAATATTTTTTTTCCTCTTTCTGTGGAAAAAGGAAAAACGCGTTTGACCAGTGATATGGCAACGGGCCCTCCATTTTTTTGGGTCGAAAACTTGTTTAAGAACTTCTTCGTACTTTTCAAAGACGGATGGCAGTGGCATGGTGATGAGTTTTCCAGAGGCTGGATAAGTTGCGAGCTATTTTTGTTTTACCTCTGGAACAAAGTTGGGTTTATTTATTTATTTTTTTGGTCTCATCTAATCTTCAAGTTTGATATGGTATTTCAGTCAACGGTCACATGAGCAAAGACCCAGAAAGATAATTTCTCCATTTTACTTCTGTGAAAATTTTACTCAGAAAAATCCTTCAAGGAAAAGGTCAAAACTTGGGACTTGGGGGAGAGAGTCTCCACTTGGAGGCAACAAACTTAAAGACAATTTATTTTCAGATTGCAACTTTCCTAAATTACCCAAAAACAGAAAAGAAGAGAAAAAGGAGAAAAGGTGTTTCTTTTAGTCCTACATTTCAAATTTCTTTTCCATTTTTGAAAGGCCTCTGTGGTGAGTTCATTGTATATATATTGTGAAGAGTAGTCATCAAATGATAAATTCTCAAAATATGGATATGAGATTGGTTAACGTTGTCTATACGCAAAATTGTTTGAAGATTGGGTCTCGGATTCTTTCCATGAGTTGCTAGATTCCATCCCAAAAGGAAAGGTAAAAAACTCATATTCTTAATTATGTGAAAATCTAATTCTTGCAAAAACAGTTAAAAACAAAACAATATATTTTAGCATATTATCACAAAAACATAAGCAACATGGTGGTTAAGGCGTTGGATAAGTGAAATGGTAGGGGTTTGAATCCCCTTTGCGTGTGTGCTTTGTGTTTTTTTTTCCCTTTCCTTTTTTCCATTACATCGATATTTTTTATATTATACCGATATTATGACAAAATATTGCTCAAATGTGAGCAAAATTATCAACATCGATATTTTCCGATATTATCGTTGATATTATCTATATTTATACGATATGTATATGGATACGTTCCGAAATATCCATGACTCAAAAAAACGATAATATCCTAAATATTTCATTGATATTATCGATATTTTAGACTATGGTCAAGATAAGGACTAAATTGGAGAAGTTGGATTAGTTGAGAGTTATAAAGTTTTATTTATATCTTGTACACTTGTAAGATTATTTTTATTTTTATAAGAAAAATGTATTTTAAACCATTTTTTCAGTCCTTTTATTTTATTTCATTCAATTCACACACCCTAATTCAGGAATCTTCCTTATTTCCGGATCGGGACGTGATATTTTTCCCTCGAATTGGAACCGAAATGGAAAATTACACACGACCGATTTGATTCAATTTTCATAGAGAGTGTCTAGAAAAACCGAACCAAACTGGACCTATGAGGTTCCAGTTCAATTTGGCCAGTTTCCGGTTTGGCAAGATAAAAATGAAAAGATGTGAAGAAGAGAAAAAGAGGTAGAAGAGATAAAATAAGAGAGAAAGAGATAGAAGATAGAAATAGGTGCAAAGAGAAAGAGGAAGAGAAATAGAAAGAAATGGGTGGAAAAGAGAGAAAGACAAAAGCGCAACAAAAACGAGTATGGTTCAGCAAAAAGAAAAGAAGTTGCAGACACGGGATTAGCCAAGTTGACTAGAGAGGATGTGCATCCCCACTCTGCATGTGAGTTCGAATTCCCCTTCTGTAGTTTATATTAGATTAAAGTAGAATATCGCTTGGATAAATAAATAATAAATAAAAAGAAGTTGGGTTAGCGTTGTTATTTAGTTGGTAATAAATTGGAACTAAGATATTGTTTATTAATTGGGCTAAGATGTTTAGATGTTACTTGGAGTTACTCATGTGATTTGAATATTAGTTAGGCATACTAATAATTTTATATATAGATGAATAAGTAAACTTAACCTAACCGGTCCGGTTCAATGTGTTCATTTCAAATTGGACCAATCTTGACTGTGGATGATCCCTTTATGGTAAAATATCGTTGCCCGCATTGTCATTCCAGTTAGATATGTGACTAGCTAGCTGATTAATTGTACCTTTTTATTGCATATTGATAGTGGTTTAATGACTCCAACCATGAATTTGCAGATGCACTTTGAAGTGCATGTACTTTATATGAAATAAGTACATCAAGGCCTAGGTATGTAGCCGGTCCAATAAACTTTTGAGTCCTTGTTTATGTAAATTCCTTGCTATCTCTTCAAACCTCATAGATTAATTAGAATCTGTAGATTTGCATGTATGTATGTGAAAGGAGCATATATCTTGACCTGCCAGAAGTGAAGATAAACGTATGCATAGCCTATGTACTTAGCGAGTACAAGAGTTAAGACTAAATGGAGAATATATCTAACCTTCCTATCGTAAACTGACCAAAATCTCAAACTAAAACCCAACCAAAGACCACCAAATCAGTCTTAAGCTAAAGAATTTCAAAACCAATTGAACTAGGGCGAAGCCTTAAATGTCATTTGTCATGTTGAACTAAGGAACTATTAAATAGAAATATGAAAAGAGCCCGGACAAACAAAAGAGGTCAAATGAAGAAGATATTTTGAACGGATGCTTAGGCTTCTTAGAGCCTAAATGAACATCATTTGTTTCTCTACAAAGTTGGAATTGGACACATTTTGGCAATTTGCAAGTGCGAATCCGGGATGTGATTTGCAGACTACTGTTCCTTCTCCCATTTATTTCTCCAACCTTAAACTTTTAGAGTCTCGTTTGGATCTCTTTTTGGAACAGGAAGAGTTTATCGAGATCCTTGGCTGCCTCTGCCATCCTCTTTTCAGCCTTCTTTACCTCATTTTTTTTTGGTCTTTACGCATCCCTAATAAATTGAAGGTGTTTTTATGAAAAGCGATACACGATATTCTTCCATGCAAGGTGAATCTTTTTAAGCGCCATATTATTCTTGATTCTCTTTGTTTGTTTTCGGTGTTCTCAGCATACAAGCTCTTTGATTTTGTCGGTTGTCACGGGAAGTTTGGCATTATTCACCCTTTCAAGACTTGTCTGTTCCTATACAGGTTGGTACTTTTAAGGAGTTCTTCCGATATGTTTATTTGATTTTGACCAATGACGAGTGGTCTTCTTTAATTTTTTTTTTCCCAGTTGGGGATTATGGAGATCTTGTAATGATCTTTTTCATTATGGTCGGAGTACTTCACCTATTTGACTTTTGGCTCTACCCGAGAGCTTGTTTTAGAATACCAACGAGCTATTACTTTAAAGTTTTCTCATGTTCCAACAACTAGTGTTCTACGATGTTGGTCTCCATCTAATGGTACTTTTGTGATGTTAAATGTCTATGGAGCTGTTAATTTTCCGTTTGATTTTAGGGGTTTGGGGGTTGTTATTCGGGATGGTATGGGTGATTTATTGTTGGCTGCCTCTAAAGGTCTTCATGGCATGTTCTTTCCTAAAGCAACTGAAATTTATGTTGCAATCTTGGGCTTGAAGATTGCAAGTCAAATGGAGCATCACTATGTTATTTTGGAAATGGATGCAAAAGAGGTTATTATGAGTTTTCAAAATTCTGAGCAAAGTTAGTCGACGGAGGGTGCTTTAGTAGATGAAGCTAGGGGCCTTTTTAATCTTTTTGCACGTATTTATTGTCAATTTGCTCATCAGGAGTGTAATCAAGTTGCTCATCTACTAGCTAAGCAGGCGCTTCTATCTCAGGAATTTCAATTTTGGCTAGAGGGTGGTCCTTTGTGGCTTTCTGATGTTTTGGTTAATGACAAGTTATTTTCTTAATTTTAATTTTGTTGTATACTGGTTGTGATGTTGTGGTACTCGTTTTCTTTGACCGGATTTTCTGTATTTATGGGTTTTTAAAGGCAAGGTTTTAATGATGTCATACTTGTTGCATCACTGAAGTCCAATTTTTAGTTTTTGTATCATGACATTGTTGTTTCAATGAAGTTATCTTTCTTTGATTTTTTTTAGAAAAAAACCATCTATACATAAAAGAGATGGTAGGAGTAGAATTACTCGTTCTAAGTATTTATTATTCTATGACGATCCCAATTCTTTTTCTTATGATTATTTATTATTCTTTGAGTTATGGAGTAATTTTTTAGTGATATTTGAATTATTGAGAGAGAAAAAGAAAAAGGAAATTATTATCTGCTGAAAATGAAATTTTAGTATGATATGTAGTGATGAAATGATATACACACTTTAATTTAGGAAAAAGTGAAAAGTGTCAATATATTATTTGATGAAAAATGTGGAATTGGAAATGGGAATGTAAGAAGATATAGACTTAGCCAAGTTGGCCAGAGCAGATATGATCCCCATTCTACATCAAGTTCGAATCCACATTTTCATAATTTAGATTAGATTAAAGTAGAATATTATTTGTATAAACAAAATAAAATACAAGTGGAAATGCAAATCAAAATGGGACATCAAACAGAGACAACTTTGTTGAAACGATAAATCTCAAGCATTCATGCCCATCTTATTGTTCATTTTGCAGGCTTATGGGATCCGCACCTTGTCGTCCATTTAGGACAAGAGTTGACATTGGAAGCTTAACCTGAATTCCACTTTGATATATTACTATTTTATACTTGTCCATTACACAAAACCAAATAAGTAGACCTGGAAAAAAAAAAAAAAAAAAAAAAAAAAATGGAGTAGAATAAAAAAAAAGAAAAAAAAAATAAATAAATAAATAAATAATATATACACTATATCACCGTCATTAATCGAATAACGCATATTAAAATCCAACGGCGTTAAAACACGGCGTGAGAGTTCCAACCATACCCGCCTGTCATTTTAGCGAAACCGCTGAAAAAGCCAACTCTCGATATGTTTCTTGTTTAATTAAATTCTTATCCACCAACCACAAGAAACCAAACCAACCCGCATACTTTTAACAATCTTTCTCTTCTCCCCTCCCAATTTTCCAGAGAAAATTCCTCACCGAGAAAGTGAGAGAGAGAGAGACAGAGAGAGAAAATGAACAAGATGCACGGATACACGGAGGTGGGCACGAACAGCGTCAAGGGAGTGGAGGTAGACTTAGAGTCAGGGGAGACCTTGTACCCAGGGCTAAGCAAAGGCGAGAACCAGCTCCGATGGGGTTTCATTCGCAAGGTCTATGGAATCTTAGCCGCTCAGATGGTTTTGACCACTCTCATCTCCTTCGTCACCGTTCTCTATGCTCCGATCAACGATCTCCTCAAGGGCAGCCCTGGAATTCTCCTCTTCTTCGCCATCCTTCCCTTAATCTGTAAGTATCCAAATACCAAAACCCCCCTTTTTTTTAATAGCATCAATCTGATATTTATGTGCATAGATATTGCTTGCAGATCTGGGATTTGTGGTTTTTTGATCCAAAGGTCGAGACTTATTCTTTGTTTTGGTTTTTGGATGGGTGATTATTTGGAACTGGATTTGAAAATGTATCAGATTTGACTATTCTGGGTGCGATCTAACGTTTTTGTTATGGAGATTAGTTTTGGGTATTGTTTAAATTTGCTGGTGTCATTATGTATGATGCAGTTACAGGGTTACAATTACATCAAAAAAAAAAAAAAAAAAAAAAAAAAAAAAAAAAAATGAATTTGGAATTTTATCGGCAATATGTTTCATATTGATATTGAAACTAAACTGTGTCTGCTTTTTATGATAGATTTGTGCTCATTACATTGAGTTTCTGCATCATCTTATTACTAAATTTGAATTTGCTGCAGTGTTGTGGCCCCTGCATGTGTATCAGCAGAAGCATCCCCTCAATTTTGTCTTCCTTGGACTTTTCACTCTGTGTTTGAGTGTCACAGTGGGTGTGGCCGTTGCTAATACAGATGGTTGGTCTCATGACCCTACATTGTGAATGTTTCAATGATATATTGCAATCTGCTAATGATTATAGGGTTTATTTTGGTTTCTGCTTTTTCGTATTTATGGAATTTTTAGCTCGTGCAATTACTATTATCGGATTATGTTTGTGCTTGCAGGAGCAATTGTGCTTGAAGCCTTAGTTCTAACGTCAGCTGTGGTTGCATCCTTGACCGCGTACACCTTCTGGGCTTCTAAGAAGGGCAAGGACTTCAGCTTCCTCGGACCAGTCTTGTTTACTGGCCTCATTGTCCTCCTTGTAACCGGGTTCATGCAGGTCTGATGTCTTGCTATAAATTTGTCCGCCAACCCATTATTATAGTCTGTTCAATGTTACATAATACCGTACCCTAAATGCTCCAAGTATTGATCTGAATTTGTGATGTTGTTCTTTTATGCAGATGTTCTTCCCTCTCGGCCCTACAACTAATGCTGTTTATGGTGCCATTGGTGCTGTCATCTTCTCTGGGTACATCGTTTATGACACCGACAACCTGATCAAGCGCTTTACTTACGATGAGTACATCTGGGCCTCCATCACCCTTTATCTTGACATTCTGAACCTGTTCCTGACTATATTGCGGATGCTGAGGCAAAGCAACAATTAGTTGTGCCGGCTGACTCAACTCTCTGCGGTCTGGTTTTGGCTAAAAATCATTGTGGACATAGTATATAAGTCCAAGCCTGAACATAATCAGTGTGGATGTAGAGTATATGTTTCCTTTTTACTTTCTAAATAGTTCTAACAGCTGAGTGAGCTGTCTTGCACGTTACGTTATGCAAATTTCTTAGTATTATTACTTTTTGCCCAAATTAAGAGTGCTATATCCCATGATTCTGGTCTATTCGATTCGTTTTCTGTTTGTGGATTTGGTTACTCAGCATGGATTTGTAACACTGCATTTTCTTCTTTGCACTCGCCCAACCCACTACTTGCTGGCAAAGCAAAGCCCTGTTCTGCTCGCCAAGAATTTATCCCACTAGCTACCAATAGACAACAAAAATTAAGCGGTTGTTTGACAATGATTCTACCGGGCAATTTTAAGTGAATTACTAGAACCAAATCTTAATCAATGAAGGGGGACCAATGGGTGTTAGTTGGAGCAAGCTATTGCTCCCGTGGTTGGTTGCTGCTGGTATTTGCACCTTGGTTGTTGTGGTTGTTTGGTTCGCAATGATTTGGTCTTGTGACTTTGATGGATGGGTGGGCAACATTTCACCAAGACCCCAAGAACATAACCATTTTTCAGAATGCAGTTGTTCAAGGATCGAAGAGTATCCTGTTTGGGGAACCCGTGCTTCCCAAGTTTAATGACGAGACCCATGCTGACCTTTATGGTATTGAGGTGGTGATTGCTTTGCGGGAAAGGGTTGCTAATATGTCAAGCCAGGTCATGTGCAATCTAAACCTTCCTTTGAGTTTTAGTGGAACATCTTGGGATAGTTACAAGTTAACAAAGTGCTACGAAGCTTAAGATGTTAATTAATTTCAATTTTCAACTTGTGCTTAGATTATATTGTCAAATTTACTCGATGAAGATTCAACTACGCAATAAATTTCCTTAACAAGGTTGTGTATGATTGATTAGCTTTTTAAATTTCAAATTGTTTTTATGGTAGAAGTAATTTACCTAATCAGATCACATATAAAAATGCTTTCATTGTCTAAAGCGATGCTCAGCATAACCAACAAAATTTTTAGTTAGAATTCTATAGTGAGGCCTTATCTAAGCCCCCGTAGATAAGGCCCTATCTCTTAACCGATGGATCAAATTGGTTAGCCGTTTGATTATATTCACTATAGAATGACTCCACAGGTACGAACTTGCTTGGACTGCAGCATCTATAATGCTGGATGGCTTGAGGCAGCGATTTATGTGCATAAGGACGGAGGAAAAGATTCACCAGTGTGCTATTTCCACTAGCACTAAAGACCAACCTAAGAAAATTACAAGGTTTCAAAGTTTAAGTGCTGAACTTCACCTAGGCCTGAAAGGAGGAGTTTAACAAATGTAACTAGTTAGAAGAATGATTGATGAAGAAGAGCTTAGGTAAAACAACAAAACTTTCTCAAACCAAAACTCAAAATCATGAAGGGCGCAAACAACTCCAGTAGATATATAGAGCAGAGGATACCAATATCAGGCTTCTAATTGAAGTGAATTATAAAATGTGACATTAACGTGATTGTAATCACTTATACTTCAAAGAACAGATATTTACGTATAACAACCAAGTAAACAATTATCTTGAGACCCCTTGTGATCTTCTTGAGACCATAATTTTGTCATGATTTAATAGCAGCATCTTCATCATCTTCAATATCCCAGCTCAAATCCTCCTCTTCCTCCGCTGCACTGAGCCGCTTCTGCAAATCAACTCTGTTAGTGCTGCTCCCCGGAGCATCCCCTTTGTTTTCATCCCCACTTCCTATATCTTCAATCTCATCCCACCCAAGATCCTCTTCCTCAGGCATTGAGGGCTGGCTCGAAACTATTGAAACATCGCTCTCTTTGCAAGAATCACCACCATCCGTCTTCCCCTCTGACACTCCATTCTCGTCAAATTTTGCCTCTGCCTTATCCCCACAGTCACTCACCGATTCCCTTGCAGCAATTTCAACACTCTCAACATTATCACCACCCCTTGCAACTTCAAAAGAAGCTTGCTTTTGCTTCTCCAACTCCACAGCCCCACTCGTGCCAACCTTCAAACCCGAACCATTACCCTCTTCCTTCTCCACATCTTCATCATCATCAAAATCCCAACTCAAATCCTCTTCCTCCCCGGAAATTGCTCGATTCACAAGCTTAGCTCTCGCCTCCTCAACTTCCGTCAGCTTATGCACCCTATAAAAGTACCTAACCCAAAAGCTCTCATTGTCAACCTTACCAGGCACAATTTCCCCATAAATCTCACCAATCACTCCATTTTCCCTCATCAAATTCTCAACCTCCTCTGCTTTCTCATCCAGAACAAACCCTAATGTCCAACTCCTAAAGCTTTCCAAATCCTCAGGCTCCTCCAAATAAGTATTCATATTACTCTGAATTGCACGCACTTGAGCTTCAAACCTACTGTACTTTCTCGAATCACTACCACTGCTACTCAATCGCTTATTATCACTAATCTCACGATTATCACTGACATTATCATCCAAATTATCAGATTCGACAACATCAGCTAAGATTACGTCCCTACCGTGAGAAATGATCTCCGCCGTCGATTTCCACACAGTGCTCCCGATGTCATCGATTGCCTGACCCACCGACTCCAGCGACTCCTGAGCCACCGACGCACCGACCTCGAGAGAAGCCGGAAGGTCCTTGACGGCGCGTGAAGCCACCTGCCGGATCACCGCCGTCTCCTCCTTCAACCCAGACCCGAACTCCTCGAAATCGCGACGATAGTTCTGGATAACGGACTCAGATTTCGCGGCCAAAGTCGTGATCAGACCTCCGAAACTCCACGCCCCGGTACCAGAATTCGGAGGCGGGCTGTGGTCCGATTCCGGCACCGGGTTCGGGTCGTCGTCGTTTTGGGTGTCCGAGTGTGAATCGTCGGAGGGAAGCGGGTCGTCGGAGAAGACGGACTTGAAGAAATCCATCGGCGAGAGGAGATTTGGGGGTTTTGGAATTTTGGTGAAACTTGTTTGGGGTTTTAGGGATGAAATTATATCAGGGAAGAGCCTGCCAGTACAGGGAGAGCGATATTTGAGAGATTCTTGCTCCGAGGCTTTTAATCGGACTCGGAGTCCGAGATGAACCGGTCTCTCGATTCAGCATCAAATAAATATACAAATAAATATGACGTCATCTACTTTAATATTTTGGAAGGAAAATCTGAAATATATCGTTTTAAATGCTAAAATAGGATCCCTGAAGTAGATAGATATTTTTCTATTTTTACAAAGATTTATGATGAAAATAACGATTTCTTTTTTTATACAACCGATATAGGAAAATGGGAGAATCCAACTTCGGATTTCGGGTGCAGTGCAGAAAGGGATGATACTCTTTAACCACTTGAGATATAAATCTCTTATGAAAATAAGAAATTCAAAAATTGTGAATCTAACAATTTTAATAGGAAATAGAAAAATATATAATTAATCAGTATGGTCCATGTTTAGAGTGTGTGACATCATGTTTTAAAGTAGATCTATCTAGGATCTGATGTTATCAATCATTACTCATTTCTGTAAGGTGTAAAGTTGTCATTGCCTTATATGTGGACAGCACTTATTATTAACAAACATTTTAGTTATTAAGATGCTTAATCCTTACATAACATGAAGGTTAGCATAAGATAACAGCTAAAGGCCAAAACCTCTTCCAAGAGCCTTAAAAATATTCAGAACATCTCCAGGTCATCATGCCTTCAGGAAGCAAAGGCTTCTTCTAAGAGTCATATTTTAAAAAGATAATGAGGAAGTCAATCTCACGTTACCAATACCATGTTCATGTAGAATTCTCCAAACTGGAGGTGTTTGATAAATCAAGCAAGGGCAACCATTTTTACATAATTTTTCAGTTCTCTAACAACATGTGTATCAAAAGATTTTTTGTTTTTCTCTTTTAATTCAACAAAGATTACAAGGGCATACAGTTCTTGATACACCCAACTCCCTGCTAGTGCATTGAAAGCATTATATTCTATGCATTGCTTTTCCCTTTTCTTGGAAAACTAGTCAGAAGATCATTGCAAAGCACCAAAGTTCAAAAACAGGATTTCAGAACAAACACAGCTAGGAGATGTGAGCTTGTATCAAAAATTAGATACTTGGGCTACTCTTTCGATTTCCGCGATGATCAGCTCCTTTTCCTCTTCAAATTGCTCATCTTCATCACCTGGTAAAGCACTACAAATCATCAGGGACGAAAACGACATGAAGTTTTCAATATTTTTGGAAGCACAATTCATTCTTTCACCAGCCAATTCCAGCAAGGAGTTACATGGCCAGAAAAGCAATGAGTTAACCACCTTTTCCGGCAGAGAGATTCTCAAGCAACTCTGTCAACTTTTCATGGTTTTTAGCCAGGATAACCTTTACTTCCCGTGGCTTATTGGGATTAGCAACAAAGATCTGCATGTAGAACACAGAATAATGAATATGAAAAGTAACAAAAATTAAGTACCATGGAAGGAAACCTAAGCAATCTCATTCATTGCTTTTATGAAGTGGACAAATGAGAAGTTATGGCATGAACGTCAGGTGCCAGTCAACACTTTTATAAACTCATGGACACTAAATAGTACGCATCAAATAGTAGCCTACACAATGCACTCCATACTCGAATGACATACACAGAAGCACACACATCACACAGAGAGAGCAGGAGCAGGAGAAGGAGAAAAAAGGAGGGGAAGAAAGCACCTTAAAGATGTGGAAGGCAGAGATTTGGATGTTTTTGCTTGAATCCTAGTCATATGAAAACAAAAAACAACAGTAAACAACAGGTGAAATGCACCTAGAAACAACAATAACACAATTCTCAATTTATCAAGTATATACCAAACACCAAAAGTTGGTCGAATACAATGGTGTGTAACCAATAGCTAAGTATGCACATTTTAAAGTAGCACCCATAGGTTGGTCATATAAAGCAAAGTTCTAAAGAGTAACAACAAGAAGAAACTCAATACCTTGAGCAATGTCATCATGACTTTCAAGTACCGAACTTCTAGAATGTAGCGCTTCATTATATGAGAATTTGGAGTCTCCAAAAGGAATTCGGAGAGAAGCTAAATCAATAAACAAATAATCCTTAGCATATCTCATTGATTAAAAGAACATTAGACAGCAGAAGTTGAAAAGTTAGATAACCAGAACCGACCTTTAAAGATTGCCTCCTGGTCACATAATTAGGAGATGTCAGGAGTTTTTCATATAGATCAAAGAACTGGAACAACAATTTCTCATCAGATTGCTAAAAACAATATACACTACAAGTCTACCAATACAATAGTGAAGAAAGCTTTCTTCACAGCCTGCGCAATGCAGGTGTACAAAATCAGGGAAAAAAAAAAAGAACTTAATTTTGTCCCCAAAACAACAGATATTCAGATGGTAAAAGTGCCCTCCAAAGAGCATCTTCGGCAAGCAGATTTTGTAGGTTTAAATTATTCAATCAACATATACATATCAAAAAGTGATGCAGCTATGATCGCCACTGACTGGATTTGTACAGAAAAATACAGTAAGATAAAGAGTGAACAAACCTCATCATAGTGAGCAGTCAGAAATTCAGATACCACTGTTCCATGTTTAGTTAGTAGATCCTGCCAAATTCAGGGACATATGAAAGAACAGATAGAGCCTTAAAAGTTCAGCAACATATAGAAAGGACCAATATCAAAGAAGCTCATGATTCTAACCTTGAAAGTAGAGAACGCATCAGAAGCAACATCAAAGTTTGGCAATTCCACAAATTTAAAAAACAACACAAAGCTCGCAGACTCCAATATGTATCTGAAAAAATACTACAAAAATCAAACAAGTGAACAAAAGAAACCTGTTTGCTAGCTAGAAGCAACATTCAAAAGTGGGAAAAAGCGCCAACGGGGTCTAGCCAAGTGGTAAAGAAAGAGCCTTGACTTGAGGCCAGTGGTCTCAAGTTCAAACCCCCACAGCACCTTGGCACTGGCAGTGTGTGCGTGTGAGAATACCCCCTCCCCCTTGCTAACTTTGGCCAACAAAGAAAAAGAAGTGGAAAAAAGCAAACAAAAGAAGGTAGCAGCTCTATTAGTTTTTCTCAAAATTTCCTTTTTTGCATTCATTCAAAATCTTCTGTAATGGAAAGTAACAGCAGAGCTCCTTTTACAAGATAGGATCCACTTTAGTGAGATCACTACCAAACAAACAACAATTAGGGGCAAAAGGATGAGAAGTTTGAATGTCTTACTTTGCAAGTGTAGGAAATCTAATGCAATCCCTCAACATATTTCCACAATTCAAGGCAATTTCCTTGTTGTCATAGCTGCTCACAAAAAGAAACCAACAAATGTCATGCAATACTAATCTATCAGTTAAAAAAGTATGATGACATGTGTAGACCATTAAGACAATTTCCTGTTGGTCATAGCTGCTGGCCAAATTTACACTAAGATGCACGCATGAGTCCATCATTCACTTGAAAGCAATAAAAAGCATGCAAATTTAAGTAAAGAAACTGCAAGTGTCAAAATTTGCAAGAATTTGGACAAGATCACTCTAGTTGCACAAATTGTTTTAAAAACAAAGATTATAATAGTCAAAATTTGAAGAAAAACACATGCACTCACGAAACAGGAAGTATAAGGTTAAGTAGCATCTGATAAACCACTGCTTACTGTAGTTTATTGCAAAGATGAACAACATGATGTCCGTAAGTTCATAATTGTAACATGACAGTAAACGAAGAGCGCCAAACTGTGCCAAATGGAGAAAAGTAAAGGATCTATGTTTTAAACATAAGTATTCATGAAAGCATTAAATAACCTTACCACACGACAAGAAAGTCTAGTAACTCCAAATGGTTCTCAATGTATTCTGCGCAGCAATAAGTAGAGTCAACTTTTTGCTTCAACAATATGGACCAACAGTGGACCAAATCTTTCCTTGCCTGTATAGAAGACAACACATCATCTAGTGCAATCAATGCTTCATTGCCAGACAGTATGATACAAATGACCATAACTTACTTCCCATCCCAGTATAGGTAACTTGTGGATCAGAAGATCAAGAACACCCTCCTTACAAATTTCAAGAGCCAGCTGCGAAACTTGGTCCATATTTGGTTCGGTCTCCCCATCTCCAGAAACCATACACTTCATTGTCCCAAAATTCTTTTCAACTTCTTCCAAAGCCTATAATAAGCAAAGTAGCATCTTATAAAAGAAGAAAAAAATTCAAATCATTAACTAAACAAAAGTTTCATAATATAGCCCCTAAAAGAACCATACTAGATTATGAATCTCACAAGCAGTGGTACCGCTATAGACAAAGTTGGGGAAATGAAAGCCAGTAAATTTGCACACTCATGCACAATTCGCGACTTGAAAAGCACTTCCAAACTTACAGTTTTGCTTGCACTAATACCATCTAAAACTACCCCATTGGCAATTGCCTATTGATAAGTACAATAATGCTCACACAAGCACCCACAAAGCAAAGGCAAGCACACGTTTTGCCCCAATAGTATAACAAAATTTGAAAATGTATGGAGGAACGAGAACATTTTCATAGCAAGAACGTGACTTTAGACATTGGAAAGGAAAATTGAGATGAAACATACAATGAAAGCATGAAATTGGCGATGAAAATAGCGAAAAACCCTAGAAGAAAAAAAAATTTACAAGACCTTCTCGAGGGCTTTAACTTCGACGACGGTCTGGGTGTCGAGGGCCATGAGGCTGTCGTTGATGGCCTTCGCCACCTCCTGTGGAGTTTTGGGCCTCGACGGCTTGAAGAACGAGAACGACATGATCGATGCCGATCAATTTCTCTCTCCTCTCAGTCGAAGACTTGACGGAAATAAAGCAAAGCTTAGTCGATGACGATTCAGAAAAAGGACAGTCTTTTTGTCTCAGTGCAGATCCATCATCAACATGCAGCTTCAATTAACTTTTTTTTTCTTTTTTTTTCCCGACAAATACAAATATTTATGGTTTTGCTTTTATTATGAGATAAAACCCGGGCATGGTAAGATGAAAGTGAAATAATGTCTACCTACTTTACCAAAAAAAATAAAGGAAAAAAATCTACCTTGTAAATAGGTAGAATATTGAGATAAATAGGTAATTGAAGCATCTCCAAGGGAAACGTAAAATACCAAATATTAAATTTAAATTTAATGGCTAATGTGGCAATTTGACATTTGCACAGTTTTACACCCCCATCCGATATGTCAAATAAATAATTATTGTAGCAATCAAATCATTCAAAATAAAGAAGAAGAAAAAATATATAAAGTAAAATAATAAATGAAAGTAACAGCTATCTATCTTTAAAAAATAATAAAATATTCATTTGTCATCTTGCTTTTGGGATGTCAAAAGTAACAGCTAAACATCTAGCCTTCATTTCACATCAGCTTTGACAATTTGGTTAGAGTGATGTGAGATGTTATTTCTAGCCGTTAAATGTCTATGTGACACTTTTGATATATTGAAGCATCTCCAAGGGAGATATCAAATACCAAACACCAAATTTAAATTTGATGGTTGATATGGCAATTTGTCATTTACTCAGTTTTACACTTGTAGGGGACTTTTTCCTCCAGCAGCTGCAAATGGGCTGGGTTGCTGTAAAAATGGCAGACTGATGAAATTGTCCCCTTTGCCTGAGTTCGAAAATTAAGCCCCAAAATACCTCGAAAGGGCAGTAGAGCCTTAGGAAGTATTTTGGTTACCTTCACCAACCAAAATAATGGCTTCTTACAAATAATTTATGCATGCTTACAGATAAAATTTTAAGCTTGGCATGAGAGGCATGTGGCATGAGAGCAAAATCAACATGAGTTTAGCACTAAGAGGAAATTTAGGCTTTCTTAGAGGGAAATAGGGAAGTGTTAAGGTGAGAAAAGAGAGATTTTGTAGGAGATTTGGCTAGGAAGAGAGAAATGAAGAACAATGCTCTTCTGGCAGCTTGACAGATACTCTGTTTGCCAGAAGAGGAGAATGGAGAAGATGGTGAACAGTACACGAGACTGCTGGGTTTTTGCAAGTTAGAGAGAAAGCTTGCTCTCCAGGCGTGGGGTTGTTTTTGTTGGGTAGAAGAGGCCTCATTTTATAGGCGCTGGAAATCATCCCTTCCCAAGAAACCCTAATGGTTTCTACTCATTTTGGCTAAGCTTTTCCCTTCCTTTCTCTTCTCCTCCCCTGGCTTTTCCTATCTTTGTGAAATTTCCTCTGTTTATTAGCACAAAATCAGGAACTTTAGGAGCTCAAGGCCCCATTTTCCCGCAGCTGTCTCAGTGACAGATTTCCATTCCCATCCATTTCTTTTATTGCTTTCTTCTCTTTTTTCCATGGCCAAGTCTGATGGGAAAAGGAGTTGGGAAATATATGATGGTTCGAAGGGTGTTTCTGGCAGCTCGCAGGCTAATATTATTTGGTTCCTTGAATGTTTCTTGCTTGGAACTTGCTCCCCCCATGTCTGGTGGTTTTTTTTAATGAACCTGCAGACCTTCTCTACGTGGCTTCTATTTTTCCAGCAAAGGGCTGAGGCTCTTGTGGGCTTATTGTGAAACTTTGTATGGGACAAGGTAGTTCATTAAATAAGTGGGCTATTTTGTTAAATATTGGGCTTTTGAGTCAATAGGCTATTTGGGGCTATTTGGGTTATTTGGGCTATTTCTTTTCCTCTTGTGCTCACCCACATGTTTGGGTCTAAGAAATGGGCTTGAGTCTCGAGGCTCCCAAGCAACCTGAGACTTTCCATTTCTCGGCCCATCAATGGGCCTCATGTTGATTTATTACCATCCATACCACAACCCACTCAAGCAAGCCCCGGGCATTCGAGTGGCTTGGGCCCACTTAGGCTTGTAGTGTGGTTGGGTGTGTAATAATGATTTCCTGCTTGGCATGGCATGACATGTTGCTTGGCATGGAACATCGCTTGGCATGCTTTTAATTATTATGCTTGATGGGATAATTAGCATGGATTTGTGGGGCCGATATATTCTAGCATGACAAATTATTTATTTAGCATGGCATGTGGATTGCAACTCGTATGTGGCGGGTTTTTGTGTACTCTGCTTTACGTCTTTCCTTGATAGAGTGTCATTTTGGGCCGATAATTTATTCAGACCCAACCGTGGATTTTTTGGGCCTCAACATTAGCCCCCTTAATTATTAGGGTCGTGGATAGGTGCTGGAATGGGCCGAATAATTAAACCTGGCCTAAAAAATCAAATTTATAAGCTCCAGTAGATTTTGTCGTTTCCCAGATACCAACTTCCTCCTTTTTCATATACTATTTCTTCCTTCTTCTCCTTCCTCCTTACGCGCACCAGAGTAACTCTCTCCCCTTCGCCTTCATCTTCTTTTTCCTTTTCTTCCTCCAACGAACTCAGAGCGAGAGAGAGAATGGCTGAGATCAAGAAGAATCGCATGTCTACAGCTGCTGGAATGGAGTTCGAGCCAAACCCGACTCCGTCATTCCCCTGTCTGAAGAAATTTGCTTGCTGTTGCTGGAAGTGATTGTCTCTGTGCATAATTTTCTTCCAAAATCCCTAATTCCTTCCTTCTTGGTGCATATGAGGCTATCCTTTGAGGGATCAACAAGGTATGCTCCTTTTCCTTGCAAGTTCTTGAATCTGTTGAGGGGTTTGTTGGGTTCTTTATACTCATGGGTTTTGCTTTTTATTTTGGCAGCCAAACATCCACTCCTTTTGACTTATCCATCTTTTGTTGAAGTAATCGTTAGCAAGGAAGGGTTTGCATCAGTTTTTGGGGTTATCCCCTTTTTGATTTCTTTTCGGCAAGCTGCTGGAAGCTCTGAGCACGCCAGCTTCATCTAGACCTCTGTCTTGGTCTGTTGGTAGGTAGCTCTGCTCGCTTGCTGGAATCTCATGTCCTTCTTTTTAACTCTGTAGGAATATATATAAACTGACATCTTGGCCTAGGCTTGTTTTTCTTGTGAACACATGCTTGATTGAATCTGGACTTTTCTCCCATATTGTGGAAATAGAAATTGATAGAATGCATGCTTTGAAATACTTGAATTTTGTATTATTGGAGATAATTTTGCTTGCCATGGGAATTGCTTGCCACAGGAATTGCTTGCCATGGGAATTGCTTGCCATGAGAATTGCTTGCCGATACTGAAACAAGAATTTTGCTTCCCATGAGAATTTCTTGCCATGGGAATTGCTTGCCGATCATGAAGCAAGAATTTTGTTTGCCATGGGTAAGTTGCATGATGCTTGGGTATTTGCTTGAGCAATTCTTTTGCGTGAGCTTGTCTTGCTATGCTTGGCGATATTTCCCATGTGCTACGTTCTTGACAGAATGCATGTTTTGAAATGCTTGAATTTTGTATTGTTGGAGAGAATTTTGCTTGCCATGAGAATTGCTTGCCGATCATGAAACAAGAATTTTGCTTGCCATGAGCTTGAATAATAGATTGCATGATGCTTCAAAAATTTTTGTTTATGCATTTCGCTTGGCATGAGATAGCTTGCTTTTGCTTGGCATGTGAAGTTTATATTTCTTGCATGCTAGCATGGAGATTGCTTGGCTTTGACCCAGAGAACTAACTTCATACTTTGCCCTCTTGCAGTATATTCTTTGTTGGCAATTCTTGGAGAGATTCAAGCACTAAGTCACAATGACCTCTGTGATGAGTGATGGTCTATTTCCCCTTGCACAATGGGTTGAAGAAAGGATGACTACCTTCATAGCTTAGAAACACCTACCAAGACTTGATCATATGCACTAGGTAAGCTTTGGAGGTGACGCTTATCTCCAGGTGCTGTGTACAAGAAATGCATGTTTTCGGCAGCCACTTGATTTTTTTCAATACCCTTGCAGCATCATTAAGGGCTGGCCAGAGTGGTTCGATCGCGAGTTGAAAAGCCCAACTACCAAAGATGTTTTGCAAATGATTGAAGGTTGCAAAGGAAACATCGTTTTTGACCTTACTGCAGCATGCTGAAAGGGCTTGAGCATGTGTCTTATTAGGACATTGTGTGGACTTCCCACTGGATACTTAAAAGAAGTTATAGCACACACTGTTTTTAGAGCACGAGCTGCTTGTAGCATGAAAATGTATGCCTGATCCCCTTAAGCAAGAGTTGTCGTAAATGCGTTAAGCCTTAAGGAACACAAATTGGAAAGGCATTGTCGTAAGCTACAGGACCTTCTCCTTGACAAATGAGTGACTGAGCATGGCGCTTGGTGTGTGGTGGAAACATCGAAAGGATCATCTTTCCGCACTTCTTCTGTTCTTCCAACAGCATCCTTCTATAACGCATGTCCTTACTTCGCCTTTCAGGTCGCATTTCTTTGTTGTGAGGGGCTAGCTGGCTGGGTGCGTAGTAGCTTTTCCTTTTGAAACTGCAGGATGTATTGATCTGCAGCATAGTTAGCTGCATTTGAGCTTGAGTTGTACCCCTATTTTGTTTTTGTTTTTTTTTGGAGAGCCTAAAGCTCATGTTGTTGGAACCTTGAAACACAACATTGTTGCATATTTTCTGTCAGAGCTTTTGATGCAGAATGCTTGAGATATTAAGCTTCGGCCTGTTTTGTATGCTTTGCTTGATTGGAAGTAATGAAATGCATGAATTGTTGAATTTGATTGCATTGAGATAATGATTTCCAGCTTGTTTTGTACACTTTGCTTGGTTAGAAATAATGAAATGCATGAATTGTTGAGGTTGATTGCATTGAGATAATGATTCCCAACTTATTTTGTACACTTTGCTTGGTTGGAAATAATGAACTGCATGAGTTGCTTGAGATTTGGAATGCATTGAGATAATGATTTTTAGCTTGTTCTGTACACTTTGCTTGGTTGAAATGCATGAGTTGCTTAAGAGTTTAACAGGTTGGGTTGTGGTAGGCGCAAGGTACATGTTGCCAATCTTTTTACAGGATCACAAAAGTATCCGCCCCCATTGCTTCAATGTTGTTTTTCTTTTCACAGCACCCCAACACATACACTCTCCTCAAATATTGCAAGGGTTGGGATGGTTTTCCTTCATAGCATTTTTTTTTTCTTTTGAGACATCTCACAAGTCGCGGAGGATACACTTCCTGCTCCTCTTGGGATGTCCGGCGTAGCTGCCGACACTGCCTTGCGCCTTTCAGCAGCGCAGCCTCCTGCTCCTCCTTTCCTAAGCACATCCGACACAACTGCCGGCACCTCTCCACAGCTTCCAGCAGTGCTGCCTCCTACTCCTCCTTTCCTAAGCACATCCGACACAACTACCAGCACCTCTCCACAGCTTCCAGCAGTGCCGCCTCGTGGTGAGATTATTGATGACAGCCGTAAGGACGATGATGTTTCCACCTTGGTGGGGCATTTATCGGAGAAAAGCATGTCTTGGCAAGATTGAGGAAATTCCTTTATAACTTTCAAAGCCTTCTTTGATGGTGGTGCTAAGATCCTCCGATCTATCGATGAGCTTCTTCCGTTCTTTTTGGGCATTCTTCATAGCTTCAAGGTATATAATTCCTCTTTTTTTTTTCTTTTTTTTTTCACGCTACCTCTTCTAGCATCAACCAGTCTTGACACACATTCTCCTTTCTTCTTGCAGGTTGTCTTTTCTTGGCTTGGTGATCAATTATCTTGGCGTGTGGTTCTGTTCCCTTGGAGACCATAGGCTACATGGGTCTTTAGCATGTGTAGTTTTGCTTTGACTGTAGTTTTTTTTTTCTTTCTCTTTTGGACACTCTAACGGCCATGTCGTTATGACTTTGTAATGTAGTGTTGAATAACTGGAGCTTGTATTAATTTATGAATGCTTGAGGCATGTTGTAATCTGCATGTCTTATATATATATATATATATATATATATTGCTTGGTTGGCAAAATTTGTTTTTATGAACTGCTGGAGATTCTCTGACAGGTTGGATATCCTTAAAAACAAGGTATATGCTGCCAAAATTTTGTTTGACCACTAGGCCTGAAAAACACCCTCTTGTCATACCCTAAAAGGGGCAGACTAGTATATGCATAGTCTTTGTAAAATTCTCAGATGTTTTTCATGTTCCGATTGCTTATCAAAAAGGGGACAATGGTTTTGTTGTTTCAGCAGCTCAAGAATGCATGCCCCATATTATTTTGCTTAGGCATGCTACTTGTTGATGGCCCCGGACCCCATCCAAGTGACTTTGCTTGGCATGTCTTATTGATAAGTGGCGTGCTTTTGTAAAGAAAAGTTTGCTTGTCTATTTTCTTTTTTTTAAAAACATGATTTGCAAAACAGAAGAAGATAATATCAAGGAAAGAATTCTAGAGGCTTTTTTTTTTCTTTCTCCAAAATACTCCATTCTCATTGCAAATATCATCTTACACCTTGGCATGTCATAATGGTGGTCCATTCTACAAAAATTGTGAAAACATATGGTGAAAACACAAAAGGAGTTCATTTTTGAAATAAATTTGAAAAGCTAAAAACAAAAGGATATGTGCAAAAGCAGTAGTAAGACTTTGAGCCACTTTGCATTGATGAATACTCCAATTAAAATCAAGCCCCCAAGTGTTAAAGGGCCAAGGAGTGTGCATGACTTGCAAGAGCATGAAAGCTTGTGGCATGTATTTGGCATGTGTTGTACTAGGCTGCCATGCTCTGTAAATATTTTTAACAGAGCCATAGCTGCTGCTTTACTTGCATGCGGCTCATAACCCAATTAATTAGAGAGTGATTTACGGCTCTTATGAGAGGTTACGACAGTTGTCTCTTGATAATCTTGCTGACCAAATGAAGCCCCCAAGTGGCGCTCTTCCTCTTCACTCTTCCAAGCTTCCAGCCCATTTAGTTTGACTAAAATGCTTGTTTTCTTCACTGCTTCTAGCAGCTGAGAAAATTGGTTGATGTCAATATTCTCCAAATAAACTCTGTAATATGCCACGATGTTGCTGATACAAATTTCAACAAGTGCTTCTTCATCCTTCTCATCATAGCAGTCTAGAGCCAGGTCTCGGAACCTGTGCATGAAGTCCACGAGATCTTCCCCATGTTTTTGGTGCATGTTGATGAGTTGAGCGGTAGTAACTCTTTCCTCATGCTGGAAGTATTTCTTATAGAACCTGCTTGCCAAATCTTCTCAATTGCAAACAGAGCCTGATGCCAATGTCGTGTACCACGTATAAGCACGATCGGTAAGGATTCTTGAAAATTCCCTAAGTCGGAGACTATAATCACCAGCATGTGGTCCCAAGGCATCAATGAAGCAGTTGACATGCTCCTTGGGCTCCCCTTCCTTCCGTCGAAGAGAATAAAGTTTGATGCTTCGTAACCTTTAGGATATGGCTGCTGGAGTAAGCTTGATGGATACGACGGCTAAGGAAGGTACTTCTAATCCTCTTGGTTTCGACTCAGTCCCTTTTCCAGCATGGCAATGGCATCTTCTTGGGTGACAAAAAATAGTCCCTTTTGTTCAGACCCCTTTCTGGCAGCAGCAGACTCCTCTTGTGGAAGTCTCTCGTTTTCTTCTTTTGGCTTAGCAACTGAGCTTTTCAACTCCTTGATTGTGTTTGCCATCTCCCTCTGGGTTTCCCCCATAACATGGATGGCTGCAACAAAGTCTGTGAGGGGGAAATCTCCCTCACTTTCATGTTCTTCTCCTCTAGATGAGGCATGTTGCCTTGATTCCGAGTTGCTATGGTTTGGCCCGTCTTGGGAAGCTATGGGATTGCTTATGGTCTTTTTCTTCGGAGGCATTGATGAAGATAATGGCTTAATCCCCAGCAGAGTCGTCAATTTATGTAGGGGACTTTTTCCTCCAACAGCTGCAAATGGGCTGGGCTGCTGTAAAAAGGGCAGACTGATGAAATTGTCCCCTTTGCCTAAGTTCGAAAATTAAGCCCCAAAATACCTCGAAAGGGCAGTAGAGCCTTAGGAAGTATTTTGGTTACCTTCACCAACCAAAATAATGGCAGCTTACAGATAAAATTTTAAACTTGGCAGGAGAGGCATGTGGCATGGGAGCAAAATCAACATGAGTTTAGCACTAAGAGGAAATTTAGGCTTTCTTAGAGGGAAAAAGGGAAGTGTTAATGTGAGAAAAGAGAGATTTTGTATGAGATTTGGCTAGGAAGAGAGAAATGAAGAACAATGCTCTTCTGGCAGCTTGACAGATACTCTGTTTGCCAGAAGAGGAGAATGGAGAAGAAGGTGAACAGTGCACGAGACTGCTGGGTTTTTGCAAGTTAGAGAGAAAGCTTGCTCTCCAGGCGTGGGGTTGTTTTTGTTGGGTAGAAGAGGCCTCATTTTATAGGCACTGGAAATCATCCCTTCCCAAGAAACCCTAATGGTTTCTACCCATTTTGGCTAAGCTTTTCCCTTCCTTTCTCTTCTCCTCCCCTGGCTTTTCCTATCTTTGTGAAATTTCCTCTGTTTATTAGCACAAAATCAGGAACTTTGGGAGCTCAAGGCCCCATTTTCCCGCAGCTGTCTCAATGACAGATTTCCATTCCCAGCCATTTCTTTTATTGCTTTCTTCTCTTTTTTCCATGGCCAAGTCTGATGGGAAAAGGAGTTGGGAAATATATGCTGGTTCGAAGGGTGTTTCTGGCAGCTCGCAGGCTAATATTATTTGGTTCCTTGAATGTTTCTTGCTTGGAACTTGCTCCCCTCATGTCTGGTGGTTTTGTTTAATGAACCTGCAGACATTATCTACGTGGCTTCTATTTTTCCAGCAAAGGGCTGAGGCTCATGTAGGCTTATTGTGAAGCTTTGTATGGGCCAAGGTAGTTCATTAAATAAGTGGGCTATTTTGTTAAATATTGGGCTTTTGAGTCAATAGGCTATTTGGGTTATTTGGGCTATTTCTTTTCCTCTTGTGCTCACCCACATGTTTGGGCCTAAGAAATGGGCTTGAGTCTCGAGGCTCCCGAGCAACCTGAGACTTTCCATTTCTCGGCCCATCAATGGGCCTCATGTTGATTTATTACCATCCATACCACAACCCACTCAAGCAAGCCCCGGGCATTCGAGTGGCTTGGGCCCACTTAGGCTTGTAGTGTGGTTGGGTGTGTAATAATGATTTCCTGCTTGGCATGGCATGGCATGTCGCTTGGCATGGCATGGCATGTCGCTTGGCATGGCACATCGCTTGACATGCTTTTAATTATTATGTTTGATGGGATAATTAGAATGGATTTGTAGGGCCGATATATTCTAGCATGACAAATTATTTATTTAGTATGGGATGTGGATTGCAACTCGTATGTGGCGGGTTTTTGTGTACTCCGCTTTACGTCTTTCCTTGATAGAGTGTCATTTTGGGCCGATAATTTATTCAGGCCCGACCGTGGATTTTTTGGGCCTCAACAACACTCCACTTGATATGTCAAATAAATAATTATTGTTAACAATCAAATCATTTAAAATAAAGAAGAAAAAAATAAATAAAGAAAATAATAAATTAAAGTAACAGCTAGCTATCTTTAAAAAATAATAAAATATTTATTTGACATATTGCTTTTGGGATGTCAAAAGTAACAGCTGAACCTTCAACCTTCATTCTACATCAGCTTTGATAATTCAGTTGGAGTGATGTGAAATATTATTTTTAGTCGTTAAATATCTATGTGGCACTTTTGACATATCGGTCGGAGACGCTCTACACAACAACTAAGGGCATTCATCACAAACCGCCCCGCAATTTAACCGCCGACTCCACCGCTAACCTGCGAAAACAAAAGAAAAGAAACGCCCGAGAAATGCAAAGACAAACGCCTTCTTCATTCATTTCTTCCTTCGATCCCCAAACCTCGTCTTCTCTCTAGCTCGAGCATCCTCGGAGCCTCAGAAATCTCAACTTCTCTGCGATGCGAGGCCATGATCAGATCAACACGTTTCTTCCCGACGAGCTCATCCTCGAGATGTTCGGGCGGCTAGACTCCAAGCCCAGCCGCGACGCATGCTCGCTCGTCTGCAAGCGGTGGCTCGCACTAGAGCGGCTCAGCCGCACCACCCTCCGCATCTGCGCCACCGGTAGCCCTGACCTCGTCGTTGACCTCCTCGCCGGCCGCTTTCGCAACGTCCGTACCATTCACATTGACGAGCGGTTGAACATTTCGCTTCCATGTCAGCCCCCTGTAATCAATCAATCCCTAAATTCAATGCAAATCGAATAATTCTAATTCATCGAAGCAAACGCGGTCTTATTGTTTTTGTGTTTTGTGTTTCAAGGGGAGGAGGAGGAGGACTGATATTGCTGCGGTTTCGTCGGTGAAGCTGCATTGTGCCAACGAGAAAAATGGGTCCCCTGATGCTGGGTCTGATTCATGCAGTTTATCGGATGCTGGGTTGACTGCTATTGGTGAAGGCTTTCCGAAGCTCGAAAAGTTGAGCTTAATCTGGTGCTCTAATGTTTCCAGTCTCGGATTGATATCGCTCGCCGAAAAGTGTATATTGTTGAAATCATTGGATTTGCAGGTGAGCTTTTGGTTAATTAAGCTTTAATCTCTTCTGGTTATTGCTCTATATTGCCTACGAATTACCATTTTTCTAGAGTCTATTCTAATGCTCAGCAATGGGCATTGTAGATTGGGACTTTTGTTCTCATATTCGGTGCAATGTTTTTGTTTTTGTTTTTGGTACCGTTTTGCTGCTTGAACTCTTGCTTTCATTAAAGGAGGGGTCTTTTTCATTAAGTGAATCACATTGAAATTTGGTAGTTGATATACGTGTCAAGTCCGCTGCATAACTCACCAGCTAACCTTAATTTTCTTTTTCTAAAGGGTTGCTATGTTGGAGATCAGGGCCTAGCTGCCGTGGGACAGTCTTGCAAGCAGCTTGAAGATTTGAATTTGCGGTTTTGCGAGGGATTGACTGACGTATGTTTGGTTGAATTAGCGCTTGGCGTTGGGAAGTCATTGAAGTCTCTTGGTATCGCTGCTTGTGCAAAGATAACTGATACTGCAATGGAAGCAGTGGGGTTGCACTGCAAATCTCTCAAGAACTTGTCTTTGGATGCTGAGTTCATACACAACAAAGGGGTGGTTGCTGTGGCCCAAGGATGTCCTGCTTTGAAATCTATGAAGCTACAATGTATTAATGTCACAGATGAAGCTTTGTCAGCTGTGGGAACTTCTTGTCCGTCGCTGGAGGTGTTGGCTCTGTATAGCTTCCAGAGATTTACTGATAAGTTAGTACTCGTTATTCCTCATGTTGATGTTTCACTTATTTTTTAGTGTAATGGAATTACTCTTACATACTTAACGAACCTGTTATTTTTATCCCTAGTAGTTTATTTTTGAGTTCTTTCCAATACGAAGCTTCTTTTTGGAATGAATACTGAATACCTGCTCAAGTTTCAGCATTTGTTTCTCTACTGTATCACATTGAATGCACCCAAATCCATGGGATTCTTGTGTAAACTTCAGATTGTGCATGTAGACATTATTTTCTAAGATTACTGAGAACAATATGAAGTTTTGCGTTTGTCTGTTTCATTTCATTAATTCTGCTGACAAAGTTAAATAACCCTCTCTTTGTTTTCATGTCTGGTACATTTCAGAGGTTTAAGTGCTATTGGGAATGGATGCAAGAAGTTAAAAAATCTTATTCTTAGTGACTGCTACTTCCTGAGTGACAATGCTTTGGAATCAATTGCAACTGGCTGCAAGGAACTTACGCATCTTGAAGTGAATGGGTGCCACAATATTGGAACAATGGGCCTAGAATCCATTGGCAAATCTTGCCCGTATGTTGCTCTCTCAGCTTAACTTAAATTGGTAATTTAGCTGGTAAATGTGTGGATGCATTGAGTGGAGGCCATGTTTGAGTTATAGATGTTGCTAAACTGTTGAAGAATTCCATTAAGCTACATGCTTTCACTAGTTTTCTTTTAATGTGTTATATGGATAAAATTGGCATGAATGTTTAGCAGTTAGTTTCTACCGTAGGTGGAAAATTATGTACGTTCAGAAGTTGTATAATTGGAAATTTTACATTTAGGTCAGTTGTGGGAGTTGATGATTGTGTTCTTCAATACACCAAGCTAAACAGTTGTTTCACTGTTTTCTGAGTATGATGTCATGCCATACGTTCCAGTAGTTAAGGAGTTGCATAGACTCCATCATATGTTTCTTGCATATTTTCTTAGGTTCTAACGTTTTGCTTCATCTGAAATTGCATGGCTATGGTTTTTTTGGGGGTCAATAGCCTACTAGTCGGTCTTTTTAAGTATCCATTTGTGTATCGATGGTAAGTTAATCTGAACATTTTGAAAATGTACAGGCGTCTTACTGAGTTAGCACTGTTATACTGCCAAAGGATAGGCAACTTTGCACTCAGTGAGGTTGGACGGGGCTGTCAGTTCTTGCAAGCTCTGCACTTGGTAGATTGCTCAAGTATTGGAGATGAGGCCATATGCAGTATAGCTACAGGCTGCAGAAATTTGAAGAAACTTCACATTCGTCGATGTTATGAGGTTCTCTCTCTCTCTCTCTCTCAAGGTTCCCAGTTATTTTTTGCAAAAATTTCATGTTATTCAACATTTCCTTGGTTAATTTTACTTGGTTAAAATATTCTTCTTGGATTCTAGATGCAGAACAATTTTTCAGGTTGCAGGAATAAGAGAATGTTAGATTGTAGAATCATATTCCCTTTTCTGAAATGTAATATTTTACTGGGAAATGTATTCCTTTATGTTGAAAATATTCTTTTGTTATATATGTTCTGTCAAAAATTCCTTATTTTTAGAGTCATTTACTTATTTGGATTTATTGATCACAATGTATATCTGTTGCCTTTGTTGTAGATTGGGAACACAGGAATTGTAGCGGTTGGAGAGAATTGTAGGTCTCTCACAGACCTTAGCCTCCGGTTTTGTGATAGGTAAAGTTTCTTCACATCTTGTGTATGTTTCTCTTAAGTTTTCTTTTAACACAATATTTCTATTTTTCTTTTTCTAAGTCAGATCCTTATTTTTTCTGTCTGCTCAGTTGAGAATTTGCTGTTTCAAACATTCATTTAACTTCTTTTTTTTAATGTTTGTCATTCGGAATCTACAACCTATATTACTTCATGATGTCCATAACATTGTATATCATTTTGCACATCTCCTAACCTTACCTTTTACTACTAGAGTGGGGGATGAGGCCCTTATTGCTGTTGCTCAGTGTAGCTCGCTACAATATCTAAATGTCAGTGGATGCCACCAAATTGGTGATGCTGGATTGATAGCCATTGCAAGAGGGTGCCCACAACTTAGTTACCTAGACGTCAGTGTTCTCCAGGTGTGTTCTCTCTCCCTCTCTCCCCTCTTCCCCCCCATTCTTCCCAACAAACAGATGCATCTTCTTATATTATCTTTTTGGCAAGTATAATTGATGCAAACGCAATATCTTTGTGGACTATACACGTGCTCCACATGTATTAATATCTTTGGCACGTTCAACAATCCTTCTTTCAACCTAACATAATTTATTTTGAAAAGAATTTGGGGGATATGGCAATGGCTGAATTGGGAGAAGGCTGTCCAAACCTGAAGGACATTGTGCTGTCTCATTGCCGTCAAATAACAGATGTTGGTATAAACCATTTGGTTAAACATTGCACAATGCTTGCATCCTGCCACATGGTGTATTGCCCGGGTATAACTTCTTCTGGAGTAGCCACTGTGGTTTCAAGTTGCCCTGACATAAAGAAGGTCCTGGTCGAGAAGTGTAAGGTTAGCTCGAGGACCAAACGGAGGGCGGCCTCTGTTATATCCTATCTTTGCATGGACCTGTAAACTCCACTTGTATTTATGTACATCTTTTGCGCTTACTGAATTCAGAACATGAACACCAAAATACTGAAGAGCCAAATCTGGAGCCAAATCCTCGCCTCTCTCAAGTTACAAGCCAGTTATCCGCACATGCTTTTTTTTTTTTTTTTTTTTTTTTTTTTTTTTTTTTTGTGTGGGTTTTTTTTTTTTTTTTTTTTTGCCTGTGTTTTTTTGGGGTTTTTTTTTAAGTGCTTTTTTAAATAAATAAATAATTTTTTTTTTTTTAATTTTAAATGTTTGTAAACAAAATGTTTGTAATTATTTTGAGTGTTATTTAGTGGTTGTCAGTTGACATGAATGAAATATATGTATGAATCTGTTTTTTTCCAAGAAGACTCGAATTTTTCTTACACATGAGCCTCTGCCTCTGCATTCGAATTTTTTCCACCAATGTCATTTGAGCAAAAAGAAGTTATTGGGCAATCATCTTCACTCATTATTTTTGTGTTTTTATAACCATGTGTTATAAGGACCTGACTCGAGGTTGAAAACCTTTTAGAACAACAAAAAAATAAATTCGGAATTTGGAAGTCGTAGTGGGAACTGAGAGAAAGAGTATTAAAAACGAAAGATAGTTTTATTGAAGGCTAAAAAAGAGGGAGCAACGAGAGTTTAGGTCAACTTATTTCTGACTTCGGGGTCCTTCCAGACTAAAAAAGTTGTAAGTTACTATCTCTATCTCTATCTGTGGAGAAGAGTCAATCTAGTTTCACTAGTATTCATGCAGAATGGTTTAAGTATAACATATAGGCTAAAAATCATGTAGATGTAGTTTGGCACTTCAATCATTTTTTATTTTGTAGTTTCAATTCCGTCAATTTTGACTCTGTAGTTTTATATTTGTAGCAATTCAAGAACAAGTTAGTATTTCAGTCAACTTCTTTGATGGAAAACCCCTAAGCATCAAAGCTCAACACATGGCATAATTATTTCTCACAATAAACTATCTATTCCTCGAGAATTTGTAACTACTTTTTTCTAGTTGCTTCGATAAGGGAGAGAGGGCACAGACTCTCGAGGATTCGAAAATGAGTCATGAAGGGAGGGGGAGCACCTCAACCACTGAAGTAAACCCAAGGACCCCATAATTTGAAACTACTAATATTCCTATTAATGAAGATATCAAGAGATACGGAGGAGCATCACTGGCAGGACAACAATTGTTCAATGACATCCATTTGCACCTATTATACTAGTCCCATTTCATGAAGATCTATTCTCCTATTTTAGCAAGAAGACTTGATGAAACACATAATTTCAAGTTGAGCACAATAAGAGAAGAGGCTTTTGAAGTATTGTATAATTAATTAATAGATCATTTGGAAGCACAAGATGATGATATCTCATACTTGAATAATATAACATAAGAAGAGATTCACAATATCCAGAACATGATGGAAGCATATGATAAAAAAAAATCTCTCATCTCCCAACAACATAAGCGACAATAATAAAAGCAGTAGCAGCTTCAGTTCACTTGAAGAGATCATCTACATGGTACCAAACTTGGTAGAAGAAAGTAGGACCATATTTGTCACCATATGGAAAATCTACCTTCGCACCATTTCAAAATTAAAAGCAAACTTCCAAGGCAATCTAGAAAAATGAATGAGGGCAAAGGACCCACTAATATAGTGGTTTGAAGTAATTGCTCAACTAGGCAAAGTTCTAGGTTCAAGTCTTAGCATCTGTGTAATGTTTGTGAGTTTAGTATATTATCGCCCCTCTAAAAAAAAGAATAAGGGCATTATTGTCCAACCACTACAAAATACGTCCTTATACACACCAAATGAATAATACCCATATATTAGGAGAGAAACTCTCATGCAACAGAGATAACAAGTGCTATTCCCAGCCAATAACACAATGACACATTACTTTTCTATATATCATTATGGTATTTGTTGGGATAGCAATGTTACAAGAATTTTTTTTTTTCCTAATTACATCCTTCCGCGCGGGGGGGTGGGGGTGGTGGATGTTGTATTAGTTCCTCCTTATAAAATACGTGTTGTATAAGAGCATCCACAATGGGCTCCCTAAACCACCTCCTTAACTAAAATTTGGGGAGGAATTGAAAAAACTCACATCTAATCATACTCCCTATTCAGCTCTTAAAATAGAGAGACCTCTAGGAGCTCCTAAATCTGAGGAGAGAGAAATGGCTTCTAGTGACTCCCTATAATTAAATGCTATCATATTTTATTATTATTTTAAACATTTATTTAATGATGTCTTTAATTTTATCAATTTTTTTTTCTTTCTGCATTTTATATTTGTAATCACTTTCTATTGCAAGCTACCTACACTGTCTGTTCTATTCTTTTTGCCGTAGCTGTAGGTGCTTTGCAAAGCACAAACAAATTTTTTTTTTTTTTTTTTTTTTTTTTTTCGATTCTTTTTCACTGTAGATTTTGCAGCACACGAACACCTTCTTTTTCTTTTTCTTTTTTTTCTGTTTTTCTTTTTTAAGTTCTTTTCCCTATAGGTATTTTGCAAACCACAACAACCATAGAATATCAAAATTGAACAACAAATAAAGTTACAATATCATTGTAGTTTATTATTTTGGAATATTTAGTATTTGAATATGGATATTTTATTGCAAATCAGGAATTAAATTTAAAAAGAAGTATTTATGATAAAAAGAAGTAAAACATTTATTACTCTTCAAATTAGGAGTATGGTTGGAGTTGGAATTTTTTAAAGAGCTCCTATAATAGCTTTTTTGTGTTTGTAGCTAAATTTTAGCTAAGAAATAGGGAGTGTGATTGTGGATGCTCTAAGAGCAAGTCCAGCGGCAACACAAAACTGGGCAAAAAGCTGCCCTCGAGAGCCCAAACGTCCTCCAGCACGCAACAATGAGCCTGGGAAAATGGTGGGTCCCACCAGCCTGGGCAAGCCCATGGTGGATGTTGTATTAGTTCCTCCTTATAAAATACGTGTTGTATAAGAGCATCCACAATGGGCTCCCTAAACCACCTCCTTAACTAAAATTTGGGGAGGAATTGAAAAAACTCACATCTAATCATGCTCCCTATCCAGCTCTTAAAATATGGAGACCTCTACAAGCTCCTAAATCTGAGGAGAGAGAAATGGCTTCTAGTGACTCCCTATAATTAAATGCTATCATATTTTATTATTATTTTAAACATTTATTTACTGATATCTTTAATTTTATCAATTTTTTTTTCTTTCTGCATTTTATATTTGTAATCACTTTCTATTGCAAGCTACCTACACCGTCTATTCTATTCTTTTTGCCGTAGCTGTAGGTGCTTTGCAAAGCACAAACAAACATTTTTTTTTTCGATTCTTTTCACTGTAGACATTTTGCAGCACACTTTTCTTTTTTTTTTTTTTAAGTTCTTTTCCCTATAGGTATTTTGCAAACCACAACAACCATAGAATATCAAAATTGAACAACAAATAAAGTTACAATATCATTGTAGTTTATTATTTTGGAATATTTAGTATTTGAATATGGATATTTTATTGCAAATCAGGAATTAAATTTAAAAAGAAGTATTTATGATAAAAAGAAGTAAAGCATTTATTACTCTTCAAATTAGGAGTATGGTTGGAGTTGGAATTTTTTAGAGAGCTCCTATAATAGCTTTTTTGTGTTTGTAGCTAAATTTTAGCTAAGAAATAGGGAGTGTGATTGTGGATGCTCTAAGAGCAAGTCCAGCGGCAACACAAAACTGGGCAAAAGGCTGCCCTCGAGAGCCCAAACGTCCTCCAGCACGCAACAATGAGCCTGGGAAAATGGTGGGTCCCACCAGCCTGGGCAAGCCCACGGGCTAATCCTGCCTGGGCTGTTGCCCTCGGGCTGCTTAGCCCTCATGGGTGGAACCACAAATGGCAAAGCTGACACTATTCACATGAATAGTGGCAGCCCTTGTTTGCCATTACCTTAAACTTAGCCCTTGTGGGTGGAAGTGCTCTAAGAGTATCCAAAATGGACTCCCTAAACCACATCTTTAGACAAATTTTAGGGAGGATTTGGAAAAATAGAACTCCAACCATGCTCCCTATCCACCTCCTAAAATAAGGAGACCTCTAGGAGCTCCTAAATATGAGGAGAGAGAAAGAACTCCTAGTGGTTCCCTATAATTTAATGTTGCTTTATTTAATGAGTATTTCAAACCTTTAATTAATGTTTATCATTTTTATATTATTTTTTAATAGAGATGAACCAATTAAAAAAGAGTTATAGCATTTATGACTCACTAAACTAGAGAGCATGATTGGAGTTTAAATTTTATAGAGAGCTCTTAAAATAACTTTGGGACATTTTGAAAAAAGCAAAAGGAAAGAGAAAAATTTTAAAAGAAGCAAAAATGGACAAAAATGCCCTTATTTATTTTTAGATTTCCTAAGGAATCCAATACATTTGCATGTCTTTGATTTGAAAGTGGAGCGGTTTTTTTGTCTTTTTTGAAAAAGCTTTGACTTTTTCCAAAAGTGAAAATTTTTTAATGTCTAAAACCTAAAAAACCTAATAACTTGTATATGTTTTTAGCTAAAATTTAACTAAAAATAGAGAGCATGATTGTGGATGCTCTAATATTATCTTCCTTGAAACGACGCCGTTGTCACCTAATTCCAAAACGGAGCGTCGACGGTCTGTCACCATTTCCAGAACCTGCAGAGCTGTGTCTCTCTATCTCTCTCAGTTCTCGATTAGTCAGTTGCTGAGCGAAGCCATGACCGGAGGTTGTAGCATCAGAGCCATCTGGATCCTCAACCGTCTCGACGCCGTCGTTTTCTCCAGGTCTTCCCCTCACACATTAACCTATACTCCTGCCATTATATATTGCACAACCACAAACTTAGCTAATCTTAGATACAAATTTTCTGCTTCAATTTCCAAAATCCAATCGAATTAGCACCCAAGCTATTGATTCTTTTCAAATCCAAGGCTCTGATGGGTTTCTGAGGAAAACCCAGCAACAAAAAGTTGTTTATTTTATTAACTTGATTGAGTTAAAGCCAACCACTTGGATGAGGATCTGTTTCTGCATTGGTGTGCAAAAGCTAAGATTGGAAACTGGACTCTCTGGTTGGTTGGGTTTCTTGGCAGCCAAACAGGGATTTATGAAATCTGAGTCTTACTGATTTTGTTTTTATTCTTAATTTTTTTTTCCTACTCAGGAGGTTTCCGGTGGTAGAGAAGCGGTGGAGGGGAACTTGCAAGAGTGAAAACGAGACCTCTACCGAGGGTGATCTTAATTACAGAGTATTTACTTCACTTCCTAGTGATTCAGAGTTAGCTGCTGCATTTGTAGATAGAAAGAGAAGGTCAGTTGAAAATCGAAAACCATTTGTGCTTTGTTTCTTGTTTCTCTTGTTTTGTTTTCTTAGGCTGTAGCTGTACGAATCATGTGAGAATGTGTTTACAAATATTATACAGCTTGAACTATGAGGGCGGTGCGTTTGAATTTTAAGAAAATGTGCTAATATTGCTTCATTGATTTAAATGTGTTATGTATTACAAGTTATTTTGTTGGTTATGGTAACTTTACTGCGTTTCTGATTCTCCAATGTTACCAACCCTTTCTTTAATGTGTTTAGGGAGGGGTCTCTTCGTGGGTTTGGGGTACGTCTGAGTCAGTCAGCTGAGGGCTCGGATTCTTGGCTTGATGATCCTATTACACGTCATATAATAGGAATTTATATAAACAAAGAAGAGGACGGTGATAGTAATGTGCTATGGCCTTTAATCTTGCACACAAAGGGCCATTATGTCATCCTTGTATTTCCGTTGGTGGAGCCCAGACATCTGAAGGCGTACGTGACATTATGTAATAGATCTGATTGTGGCATTGCTGTTGGAGTGGAGGACAGTATATCTTCCATTCTGCTTGATCTTCCGTCCATCACAGGGTATGGTAAGTTACTTGCAATGTTGTTTAGGAAGAATATCATACTTAGAAGTGTTAGTTGTTTTCTCATTCTCCTCAACATCAAACTGATTTCGGAATCAACTTGTAAATTGACCTATGAGCAGTGCCTGTGAATTAAACTTATGGGGCACATTAAATTTTTTAGAATGCATAATGAGATTAGTGTGTCCCGGATGTATGTGTAAATTAAAAACCTTCTTATACACATTTCTTGTTCTTGCCTTCAATTAATGGATGCAAGTGATTCCATTTTTTCTGCATTTCACTACATGTCTTTCCTCCATTATATCAGAAGGGAGCTGGGCTTGCATGTTTTTATAAACTGACTTCTACTTGTAATTGGCATGTAAGACTTTCTCCAAAGACATTAAGCAGTTCTTTTTCTTTTTCCCCCTAGTGCATTTATGGTGGCACATGCTATTGGTGACATAATAACTGGCGATGTGGGGGAACCTGAGGTGGTTGTAAGTGCATCTCCATCTGTGGGTGGGCTGTTAGATTCACTAACTGGCAGTATAGGGATATCAAGCATCTCCTCGAGGGCGAAACCTGTAGCTGCACCAGTTGCATCCTCAACCCCTTCCAGTGGTGCTGTGACAGGAACTGTTACATCAGATGCTCACAGGACTGGTTCTAGGACTTTAGATAAAGATGCACTTCGAACTTTCATAAGTAGTTCAATGCCCTTTGGTTGGTACTTTTTATTATGGTATTTCTCATCTCAGATTTCTTTACTATTGTTATCACTAGTGGCAATTTGGTGGATTACCTTGCATTTAGTTGTCTCGGGTTTGTGTCTTATGTGCTTGTTGATCGTACATATAGGAACACCGTTGGATTTGAGCTTCCCCAATATTATTTCCATTAAGGTTAATGGCTTTTCACAATCAGATCTTCCTCCAGCAGACCTCAAGCAACCAGCATGGAAACCTTACCTATACAGAGGAAGGCAGAGAATGCTATTCTCAGTTCATGAGACTGTCCATGCTGCTATGTATGACCGAGACGAGATTCCAGATAGTATATCAATTTCTGGTCAAATCAATTGTCGAGCTGATTTAGAAGGATTGCCTGATGTGTCCTTCCCCTTGAACGATCACATTGAAGTTTTATCATTTCATCCTTGTGCTCAAGTTCCAGAAAAAGGTATTGATAAGCAAGCTGTGATGTTTTCACCACCATTAGGCAATTTTGTTCTAATGCGTTACGAAGCAGTCTGTGGTCTTGGACCTCCCATAAAGGGATTTTACCAATTGTCGATGGTCTCTGAAGATAAAGGTGATTTCTTATTCAAACTGCGGCTAATGGATGGTTACAAATCTCCTCTCACTATGGAGTTTTGTACTGTGACTATGCCTTTTCCGACAAGAAGGGTTGTATCTTTTGATGGCACTCCATCAGTTGGAATAGTTTCCACTACAGACCATTCAGTGGAATGGAAGATTGTAATGGGTGGGAGGGGACTCACCAAAAGTATTGAGGCAACCTTCCCTGGGAAAGTTCAGTTTGCACCATGGAAACCTAAAAAATTACCTCCTAGTTCGGCCTTTGGAAGCATAGCTGATGAAGATAGCGATATTGAGACCGATGGTAACAATAATAGTATGGTAAATATAGATGAATTCCTAATGGAGAAAATGAGCAAGGATCTTCAGCCAGCTGATTTGGAGGAGCCATTTTGCTGGCATGCATACAATTACGCCAAGGTATTTGCTTCCTCTATGTTTTTCTCATATTTAGTTGGAGTTCTTGCAACCGAGAATGATGTCTTATAAAAAAAGTCTGTTGGCAATTGGAAATGTTGTTTCCATTCTAATGGTTCAATGTTGGGAAAGGAATTAGATTTGGTTCGCATTTTGTTATCATACTCTTGCTCATGTCTATCTTAATGAATTGCATACTAAAAAAGGTAACAAAACTACAAAATATGTCCAGCATAATTTTTTTTTCTTTTTTCTTTTTCTGAGCCAGTCAAGCACATAATTTGTTTAAATGGAATTTTGTACTTGTTTAGACATTTATTGAGGAGCTAACAGAGCCAGGCATTTTCTGACTCATGTTTGCAGGTGTCTTTCAAGATTGTTGGGGCTTCCTTGTCTGGAATATCAATTGATCCAAAATCGGTAAGTTTTGCTTCCTTAATTCTCCTCTCATGGTCTGGTTCATTACAGCAACCCAGAACTAGGTAACATTAGGAATTTTTTTTGTTGTATTTAGGTGCTATATATATTTCTATCCTTCGGTTTCCCATTATGAAAATAAGATGTCCTCTTTTTACCACGTCGATACATGCTCTCTAGTTTCCATCAGAATTATCCACTTTTCCAAATCTCAGCATGCGCAAATCTGACCATCACTTCCGTTTTCCTGTTGACACGTTGAAACTGCATAGCATTTGCTTGTTTGCTGGCTCTCTTAATTGTTTGTGCTACATGCAGGTAAGCATTTATCCAGCTGTCAAAGCACCAGTGGAGTTCTCAACTCAGGTACGTTTTTCTTCAGACTTCTCTATTTTCAAGCTCTACTTTCTATGTTGCAAAAAATGTTGGCATGGTAGAGGCGCTGACATGAATGCTGTAGTTGCAGTTAATTTTGCGTCTTCCTTGCATCACTTTTGGGTATCATGCATAAGCTTGACTAAATATCATCATGGCAGTGCTACAAATAATTTTCAAATCTTCATTAATTAGTTCGACCAGAGTTATTTTCAAAGGCTATAAGAGAAATTCTTCTCGGTTTCTCTTTTCTTCTGATACTATTAATTATTTAAATGTGAAATTTGAGTGTGTACTTGTCGGTCTTTCACTTGGTAAACAGGTTACTTCTGGGGATTATATTTTGTGGAATACATTGGGTAGGTGCCCATCTGCTGCTGCTGCAACGAAAGTATAGGGGATTGATATTGATGGCAACTCGGGAATTTAAAATGTAAATTCAGGGTCAACGACGTGTTCTTTGTCTAATCGACTACACCCTGATATTGACTAAACCTGTTCTTTGTGTTTTAAAGTCCAATGCTTATGGTGGGACAATTTTTGTCAACTTTGAGTCGTCCTGTTTCAGCAGTATTCCAAGTCCAAGTGTAGTGGGACCGACACTTCGTTCATAGATAGGGTTGGTGTTTGAAAGATGGAAGGCCAAGTTTATGGTGTGATTCGTATGGAACGGCTTTCAGACATTGAAGTTTCTGAAGAGATCATTCATGTAACTCGTATAGTTTTCTTGTTTCTGTTAATTACTTAATTACAATTGGTTTGCAAGTCATTCCTTTAAATTTGGTCCCTGAACCACTACAGTTTACAGGTTCGTAACCAATAAAAGAAGACTTTTAATGAACATTTACAAATTGGATGGTCTACTCTTGGCAACAACATTCTAACATAGAGAGTCAAAAAAATTCTACCATCCAGGTCCCCAGCTTCACTACCGGAGCCGGCCGACAATAGTGACACTGAAGGCGCAAAGATCCCAAGATCCGATCTGATTCTGCCTCCTCGGAGCACATGCCAACCAAGGCATGTGTTATGTTCATAGTTTAATCTGCATTTTATCTCATGACTTGCATGTTCTCCCTTCACAGTTCACTCTCCTCTTTTATTCTTCCAGAAAGTGTCTAGAAGAATGGTAGAGATCGTACGGTGCCCATAGGTGATCGACGGTGCATGGCTTCCTGGAGTCCAACCTCAACCATGGCTTACCCTTCCCACTCCAATGCAGAAGACTAATGGGACCTGGGTGGAGGCTCCTACACTCTCCTTCAAAGTTGTCACCACCTAGTCCATGTTGGTTCCACCTGTGATCCACAGCCTTGATGTTTCCAGCCAAAACCAGCAAAAATGGCGGCAAAGACCCCAAATTGTATAGCCTTTTTCTCTTTTGCAATGCCATCCACTCCTCAACTTTCTGTGTGTACCCTCCTTTCCTCCATTTATCCACATCCACCACCATCACTCCTGTGTTGAAATAACATGGGTTTCTTCCCTGAAACGTCTTTGACAAATACGGGTCAGACCAAAACTTATGGGTGAAATACTGTGTGAAATTTGCCTGGCAATATTCTGGTGCAGCCACCACCTTGTCTTCCATGTCCACACTCCATAGCTTGGCAATGTCGTCCACCACAACGAGGTCTGAATCCAAGTAAATAACTCGTCCCATGTTGGGTGGAAGAATATTAGCTAGATAAATTCTTGCATAATTCATAGGCTGATCCAATGCTTGTCTTATAGACTTTGATATCTTTCCACGAACCCGGTTTGAATCAAAGGCATAAGTCTTGAAGTTCAGATAAGGGAATGTAGACTTCATACTTGAAAAGAACTCTGGTGCAATATGCGCTGAGAGAAAGTGGAAGTAGAGATTTTCAGGGCATGTTGAGTGTTGCAACAAGGAGAAGACAGCAGCCATGGTGCCCCGGATGTAATTGGCATCCAAGGTCATGGCCACGTGGATGCCGTCTGCGTTCTCGGAGCCACATTGCTCCCCGTTTTTAAAGGAGGGGGCTTCACGGAAGATGGGAAGGTCAGGGGAGCTACGGTGAATGATGCCCAGGCGAATGCCGAAGGTGGTGGTGAGGGGGTGGAGGAGGAGGATGGACAGGAGGCCGAGGAGTATAGGGAGAGGGGTTGAAGTACTCCACGACGCCATCCTGTCACGGCGTTTGGTATTAATTTTTTGGGATTCTTTCGAGGCTTCTAAGGGCAAAGGCAGGAGAGGCCATTGACATTAGAAATGCGGGTTGTGCATGGGAGAGAGGTAGGGACGTTTGGTAGGGGGAGAGAGAGAGAGAGAGAGAGAGAGAGAGGGCATAAATTGTGAGGAAGAGAAAAAAGATCGGAAAATCTTAGACTAAGGAAGACTTGAGAGTTTTTGGTGAAGCCAAAAAAAGACTAAAAGAACAAGGGAAAGATTTTTGCCCTTTTTTTCTCCGAGTATTTTGGGTTGTCGAAAAGTTTAAAAGAGGTTTTTTGTTTACAGATATTTTTTTTGTTGCCTTTTATTTTATTTTTAGTTTTTAGTTTTTTCCTAACTGTGTTCTTGCCATGCAGCTCTATACCAAAGTTAAAAATAAATTTATATATATACTTGTATAAATTCCTCTCTACTTCCTTGATAGTTCTTTGTTTCATTTCCAAAAAGATTTTGGAAATACCCCTTTTAAGACAGTTTAGGCCCAAGTATTGATTTGTCTTGTAATGAAACACTAATGTCAAAGCGGATAAAACTTTGTTTCAAAAAACAGAAGAGAAAACTTGGCTTTCTCTTACCCAAATTGGTAGAATTCTATAACGCCCTTAGATGAGATCCTATCTCTTAAATGTTAGATCAAACTAATCAATTTAATCCAACGATTAAGATATAGGGTCTCATCTCACTATAGAATTCCACCAATTTGGGTAAGAGAAAGCAAAGCTTTATACATATATATATATATATATTGTAAGTCTGATCCAACGGTTGAGAGATATGACATCATCTAAGGCCCTCACTATAGAATCACTCTACCAATTGAATTGTTTTGTAATGCAACGAAATTCTATAGTGAGGGTGCTGTATATACTCCTCATGTGGACCATCATATTAACTATATGATCATTTCATTAAACTTAAGTGAAGTTACTATTCATATGAATATTTGGTTAATAAGAAATTCCACATCTATACTCCATATATCACACCCTCGTTATAGAACGACTCATGTGCAACGAGTTGGAATGAGGCATGTCATGGCTGAATTCTGTGGTGGGTGATCAGCAAGTGTTGGGCCCACTGATATAATGGGCTGAATAGGCCAGGGGCCCCATTACAACGAACCTGTTACTTTTTACAGACAAGTTTTACCCCAAGCCTAACAGTAACTTTGAAGGGGTCAATTCAGCCATGATAAGTAATTTGATTTTGATTTTGATTTCAATTTCTTTCTTTATCTTATTCCAATTCAAAAAGACATAATACTTTTGCATGCTAGTTGAGCTGAATATAAATTATAATTAGTAGAATATTTAAAAATAAAATATTTTAATCTAGCATGCAGGAGTGTCTAAGATCTGACAAATTATATTGGTACGAATCCTAAGTTGTCTGTGATTAATTAATATATTATTAACGTTAAGAACTTGAGATTGAGATCCTGCTGCTGCTGATATACATTGTATTATTCATGTCACGTTAGGCACATAATCAATCCACTTATAACATATCAACATTATAATGATTATGTGTTACATTCCCTTTTTCTCAATCTTATTTTCAATCCATGCAGACCAGCTTATAAGAATTTTTTTTATAAAAAATACTATTGATTTTTTTTTCCCTTTCATCTAATGAAATGAAGCAATAGACGCAAACAAATAGCAAGAAAATTGCAAATGATTCACTGGTGTAGTGGTTTAAAGCAATTGTTTTCTCATGAAAGGTTTTGGGTTCGGGTCCTAGCATTCCTGTCTTGTGTGTGAGTTTAGTATATTATCACCCCTCTAAATAGGAAATGTTCTCCAGAAAAGAAAAGAAAAAAGCAAGAAAAATTAATTAAGCAATTGTTTGGCATGAGATGCTTCGCAGCACAATATCTTTTCGAAGTATGCAAGAGGTAATCATAGGTGATACAGTCCAATTAGGATCTTGTTTACTGCTTTAAACATGTATTAAAACAAAGGATTAAGAGTTCCAAGATGTCGGCATTTTTATCTTTTGGTCCACCATTGCCAAAAGCCTAAGAACACTTTCCATTCTCACTCATTGGAAAAGTGAGAGAAATTTAAAAAAAAAGAGAGAATAGAAGCATCTTCTAGATTTGTCTTTGTGAAATCCAAAAACCCAAAATAGGGTTTGAGTAAGTCAGAAATGTAGAAAGTAGGTTGGCTTAACAAAAATTTTAAAAAAACTTATTAATAATTGTTATATAACTTTTGGAGAGGACAGAGGGTTTGGAGCAGAGGGAACATGATGGCCTCCATGCTTACATATCCATGCCTGAAGTGCCTGCCTCTCTCTCTCTCTCTCAGAGACAGAAACTCATATTACCAATGGCTTCATTCAAAAAAAGAGGCATGGGAAATGGAGTCACTCAATTACATGAATCTCTCTTGAAACTCCCCACTTTTCCTTCTCTCACGGGTCCACTACTGCCAAAATTTACTGAACTGGATTTCACTGACTCACTACGAGTTGGTCCAATATGAACCGGATTGCACGATCTTAGATAGATCCGATTGTATATAATTATGTGTCTATTTTTCTTATTATGTGATAGTGAGAAATAGACTCATGCAATAAAAGTTACTATATACTGAAATACACTTAATGTAGTTTGAGACAATATCGATGTACTGTGAGGAGTTGAAAGAAGTGGTCTTCCGCTGCATATTTGGTGCCCCAAACCAATCCCAGTCTTTTTTTCAACACAAAATAGGATTACTAGTTAAGAGCTGGCAAAATGGATAAGAACTTGTGAATCTACTGTGCAAAATGGACAAAAAATACACTACTGCGGATTATGTACTTGAGGCCTTTAGGTAAGGAAAGTAGGCGAATGAGACAGCAGAGAGGCAAGGCAAGAGAAAGAAAACGAGTCACAAAGTCACACAGCAAAATGATGCTTGCGTGGAGCAATTGAGAGAGATTCGAACTGTGATGTGAGGGCTTTGTGGACAAAAAAAAAAGCACGAGTGGAATGATGTGGCGTGTATAGAGCATTACGATCTCTCTCTCTCTCTCTCTCTCTCTCTCTCTCTCTCAAGCTTCGAGATAGATTTTGCATTTTGGTTTGGCAGGGCTCGAGGACTTGGAGACTGTGTCTTCTGGTGTGTGCGACAGAGTGGAAGAGTTGAAGAGTAAAATTATTGTTATAATTTGGTTTGGTCACTAGGGTGAGGTGAGGGCTTTGTTTTTGTGAGAATGTGGGGGCAGTTTGTGACTTGGAAGATTATGGCCACTTAAAAGCTCCCCAACATGCCTTGTTTGCTTCAGAATCTTTAGCACCTACTAGGATGTATCATGTCATTCTTTGGTGGGAGCCATCACCCTTCCACTAGATTAGGATGTATCACAATTAATTTTCTCTTAATTAAAGAGTTTTAATAAAATTGTTATAATCCAATTTTAATGATATTAAACACCCAAAAAAATTCAATGGGTCCATAGCTCAATGGTAAGAGCATTTACCTGTAAACTAGTGGTCTCATGTTCGAACTCCAATAGCATATCTCCTCCCCTTCCAAACTTTGAAAACAAAAAAACCCCCTCAAAAAAGGATTTGTGACTTCTTCCTTGATTATGGGTCATGTGTATAGATACTCACACCTAGGATAAACCCTTGAAATTGCCTAAGGTAGCTAGATAGAGATTTAAATGTAGTTAACTAATATAACTCTTGCTAATATTAAAAGAAACACAGTTAGGCATGTCCACCACTTGAGAATTTGATTGGCCTTTTGAGGCTCTAATCATCAAGGTTCTTCTAACATGTGGTTGACTTGTTATTTGCAAACTTGGTTTAAGCTAATAATTTGGCACAATTCTCAATGCACAATGGGTGAATTATTGAAAGTTAACAGTAGTTTAATAGGTAAAGAAGTAACTTTGTATTAGTGATTACTTTTCATAAATTTAAAATCACTTCTAACCCTTTTGAAAATCAATATTATCACATATGGCGATTTTAGTCATTTTTGGGTTGTGCGTGATTCTCTCCATATCAATTCAACATGTTGTTGCCTCTGGTTACTGGAGAATATTTACCCATATTCAGCACATAATTGCTTTATACTTTTGTTTGTTTATCAATAAACAACTCCACTTGGAATTTGGATATTGTGCAATTTTTAGTGAACACTAACTAAAGAGAAGACAAACTCGTTGATTGGGAGTAATATGATGTGCTATATTCATTGATGTTGAACTTATCTTTCGTAGAAATAAAATTCAATTGTAAAGGCTCACTTTTAAATTTCAAAAAAAAAGAAAGTCAAAGAAGATGAATAGGACTAATCAAACCACACCATTTCAGTCGTTGTTTTTTAGTACATGAACTTGATCTCCATAACCAAAAGGAGTTTTATAAAAGCCTGAGAGTGAAAACCCATGAACTTGATCATGATGAAACTGAACCAGAAACTAAATTCCAATTCCAATTCCAATCCTTGTTGGCTTGTACTGCTCAGATGTGCACTAAAAACATTTAACGTGTCATCAGTTGGCACTCCAAGTGAGACAGTGGTGGACTCCACACAATACATGATATACATTTAGGCAAATTCTATGCGCATGGTACAGTAGCACTCACGGATGCTCCTTAGTGCTAAAAGAAAAAAACAAACACCCCATATAAATATTCACCTGTCACAAACACCTCATATAGACACGAGAAATTATTATTTGATACCTGAATACTGTCACATCATATAATCAATATATTTATAAATTTATACTTTAAAATATAAGTTGGTCGTCTACTTATATTATAACACGTCGTGTGATAGAATTTTTTTCATTACACACAATCTCAAATCTTTGGTTCTACAACATGTTTGGAAATATATATGGTGCGCGTGAAAGCATGGTATGAGACTCATGACATGGCGGCTGAGCAAGCCCTCTTCTTCATTCTATGATTCATTTTGGTCCCACCAATTGCAAATGGAGCGACCATGGAGGGCCTGGTGGGGCCAACATGCCCTGAAATTGAAATACATGGAGGGCCTAGGCAGTGGGGGAGCCAACCAAGTGTGCCAAGGAGTTGGGACACATGGTTGATGATGTGTAGCTTTGTAGGGTCTTTCATGGTGGTTGTCGGGGGGTGCACAGGGCCGATGACTGGGACCAATTATATGTAGGATTTGAGATGTTGCATATACATGATTTCATTGATTTGGGTTGGAAGAGAGATAAAATATTGCATTCTACAATGAGTGTATGTACATGTTTTGTATCCTTTGCTTGTGTTCTTGTATACTTGAGTCCAAGCTTATATTGTACTAGATTTAAGCTTCCATTTAATTATCTTACCACTATAGATTTTAAACCTCCAAACCTATGGATCAAACAAAAGCTCATACTCAAACCTAAAATGTTTGACTCTAACTAAACTCCAAAATAATGTCATTTTAGACACACGTATCATATTAGCACGGAAAGTGTAAATTTATGTTTGAAAGTACTTATGAAATGGCTAAAAGTACTTCCTGATAATCAAAAACATTTATAATATCGTTTAGTAGAAAAATTTATAAATGATTCTAGGTCACAAATGCTCTTTCTAAAAAAGCACCTAGCAGGTGTGCTCATTTAGTAATCCGGGAAACTCTAGGATTTTCAATAAATTTGTCGCCTTTCTTCTAATAGAAGCACTTAAGAAAAACACATATTTTCGAACGAGCCCTAAATGTAAGATTCCCAATGTGCTAATTTTGCCATTAGTTATTGGGAGAACTTATGTTCACATCTACATCATTTTAGACTACCATTAGTTATCTTATCAATATAAACCCTAAAATCGTATACTTGCACATGTTGTTATGAGACTAGTTATTGTGGGAGGAGCGTTACATACGTCCATTGTATTATGAGAACAAAACTCAGAAAAGAGCTTTTCGGGGAGGGAATAGAGTTTAAAAGGTGGGTTAGTGGGACCAAATGAGGATTATAGATAAAGTCTTTCAAAATGCCTTTCTTTGTCCCTTCAAATTACCGTTCTTTATTTTTATTTTTCTAAAGAATGAATTAGTCTCAAGTTGAAGTTAAAGAGAAAGATTTTGGTTCCAACTTTTCCTCGTGTAAAAGGTGTTGGATAGGGGGACTTACTTTGTTGACACTTGATAGTTTGGTTTGGTTGAGACTTTTTAAGTAAGATTTGATTCTAACAAAGCTAAGTGGTTGACCATTTTTGTGGATGGTGATGTGTTGAGGGGAGAGAGAGAGAGAGAGAGAGAGAGAGAGAGAGCGAGTAGGTCTGTTGGGGCTAAGCAGCAAGAAGATTGCGTGCAGAAGAAAGAGAGAGTGTGTGGTGTGGGCTTTGAGAGAGATAGTGTTTGAGTTTGGTGATGCGCGTGCAGCACAAAGAGGTGGGATTGTGGTCATAATGGGGGCTGCCAGCCACATCGATCTTTCATAAGATTTATTCATGACGCCATACACATCCTGCATCATTCCTCTTCTTAAAACAGAAAAATTTGATTCTAAACTCACATATTTCCATCATTGCTTTCCCAACCTTTCTAAATTCTTCAATTATATTTTTCACCTCTATACATACAGCTTAGTGCCTATCCTACAAAGGTTGCTTTTGTATTGATGTTTATCTTCCTTGTCATCTATGACAATATTCTATTATCAACCATGTTTAGTATCATATGTTATCAAACTGTCAATTTCAATTGTTCATCGAATAAAACTTTTGTTTGAACTTCGAGCGTGTGTAGACTAGAATCTAACAACATAACTCGTTAAACTACTTATTTCATCAACAAATAAAGATGAATGAGATTCGACCATGAAACCTCTTTTAAATAAGGAAGATATTACCAGACAATGTTCTTGGTGTGCCTATAACCCTAACCCTAAAACCTATTGGAGGAGAAGCTTCTTCATAGCTAGTTCATGATTTGGAATTATTGATATATAATCTTCAGTAATAGTCTTGAATTAAAAGCCAAGGAGAACCAGAAATGTGATGGAGGAAGTAGTTTGTGCTGGCTGGCTATGAAACTTCCTTGGAAAGCCCACAAAGCACTAATTACCCCCTTTTCCTTCAGAGTTACTGTTCCTCCATTCAACTTTATGTCTGACCAAAATTAACAGGAAAATCATTGTATGGGAAAAATAATTTTTCTTTTTTGTCGGCAGTACTCTTGGTAGATGAATGAAATTATAAACCAACAAACTTATTTTGAATGTTGGGCTGTATGTCAGTTTGTAATGATAGGGGCCTCAGTTTTGCTAGATTTAGGCTAATCAAAGTTGAAATAAGTATTGATATTGCTAATCAAAGTGAGGCTAAACAAAGGATTAATGCTTTAATACCAATGCCATGGGATGGGAAGGATCCATTTATTTGAGGGGTAATTATAATAAGGAAAAACCAACTTGTTTGAAAATATCTAAATAGAGTGAATATATGAGTCGAGACATGTATCGAGATCTTGTATTTTGCTTTCAACTCATGTCTTAACTTGATCTCGATTGTGATACAATCTTGACATAACTTAGAACAAGTTCGTTATCAAGCATTTTAAAAAGAGTTTAGCTTTTAATTAACCTATGTAAATGAGTTGTTTGTTTGAAGAAACCCTTCTAATTTGAAGGTGAAAATACAAAGATGATAATGCCACCGTAGCTGGGTACATGAATTTGCATGGAGAATAAAAATGATGTGAGAATGGGTTTTTGATTTAACGTACCGGTCTCCCCCTAATTCAAGGATATTCTCATTATTTTTCAGCCACGCCTGATTCCTTTTGTTTTTGGTTTTGTGAACGAAATTATTATTGTTTTTAACTTATAATATATTTTGGGCACGTCTACCTTTTGTTATCAGCAGCATCCGCTTGCTCAATCCTGCTCAGGAATTGGCAGCATTGTCCCTATCAACCCGTTGTTTGTTTTCATCTTATACTGTATTTTTCACCTTTCCATTTGCCACTACCTCCTCATATTCAAATTTGGAGTGCTCATATCAGAGGTCTTTTTATTAGAGTTCTCTACGGAGGTGGGTATTTGAACTCGAGTTAAAGAGGATGGACATACTGTCTGATGTAGAACAGATGACGGAAGCAATTGAAGAGGAGTTGGTAAACTGCATATTTGGGCTTCGAGCTCGGAATCAGGCTCATGACCAGTCGATTCAAAGAGAACATCGTCATGAGTAAAACTCATCGCTTTATCATGACGTATGGGCTTTTTCGGGCATCCAAGATTGTTTAGTAGCCCGAAATCCAATTTTAAAGTTTTTAGAAACTTTGTTATTTTCCTATTTTAATTACTTTGTTATTTCGAGGATTTCTAGGAGGATTTAAGCACATACTTTACTGGTGGTTAGGGTTATGTTTTGTTATTTCAATTTTATCAATAAACCTTGAGGTTTTCTCATATCTTCCTGGTGGATTCCAAAGTTGCATGTTTTAGGATAAGGTTTAGCCAATCAATTATCACGCTGCATCAGTGCCTTAACTAATTGACGTAACCCACATTTGTGTTTATAAAGCTTGCAAGAAAAAAAGCTATAAAAAGCAAATTGAGCTTAGCAGCAAGCAATAGTAATAATTATTATCATGCATAGGATAGGAACAAGAACATATCTATCTCTAGTCTATAATTATGTCTCTGTTTTATGAAGCTATGACTTAGATATAATTGCTTCTAATTGTGAATGCTGAATTTTGACCCATCCTATTTTGAATCTACACTCACAATTAACCCAATTAAAAGTTTCCCCCCAAAAAAAAACATATTTATTATCTTCATCAAAATTGGTCATGATATGGTCCTTGTACAACATTATTCACAATTCGCTGGCTAATCACAAGCTGCTTCTGAATAAGCAGAAACCAATTCATTTCCCCAGTTCTTAGCACAATCAATTCAATTTACTAGCTAGGACCTCCCCTGTTTTTTCTGCTGATTTCTTAGACAACAAGGGACAGAGCAATGAAAACAATGGATTCTGCCACAGCAAAAGACCATGCAAAATCAAAATGGTCAAGAGAACTGCAGACAAATCTTCTGCTACCAAATCAGCATGTGAGATATTAAAAACCAATTCATTTGATCAAATATGTTTTTGTGAATGTTTAATCCAAATGGATTTGAAATAAAGTGGAAACAAGAAATCATTTACTGGCCATGCATAGTTGGATTTGCAACCACTTATGGGAGAGAACAGTGACTGTCTGCTGACTGCAAGTAAGTGGAGAAGTGCAGGGTTGTGAGAATTCACAAAAAAACAGAACAAAAATCTAAAAGAAAGAAAAAACAAATTATAGCGAAAAAAAAAGAGAGAATTTTCGCAAAGAAAAAATAGGCGTGGGCATAAATTCCGTTGCCTGTTGTACCTGTCTGTGCTGTGCTGTACTGTGGAGAGAGATTTTTGCACAGAAAAAATAAAAATGGCAAGGCAAGGCATTTCAATATCATCATCCTTATTCACTTCATAATGCCTGCAATCATGATTCTTGGTTGCCTCACCCGCATGCCCCTCCAACCTCACTACCCCTAGCTACCTTCTCCAATCTCCATCCATCCCACTCTCTCTCTCTCTCCTTTCTCACTCTCTCACTCCTCACACCCACCTACCTATAAATTCCACACACCCCACCTCTCTCTCTCATCTCTCAATTCCTCACAAACTTCTCTCACTCCACAAACCCTTCTCTCAATCCACAAACCCTTCTCTCTTTCCATTTTTCTCTATCCTACTAGCTTTTGCTACTTCTATCCACTTGTTCATTCATTTTGGTACTTTCATTTTGGTGCTTTTTCAATTGGGTAATTGTTTGTTTTTGTGTCTGTGTGGCCAAAAAGAAAAAAAAAAAAAAAAAACAACCAAAAGGCTGTGTCTGGTTTTGAAGGGTTTGAGAAGCGCTTGGAGCTACACTTCTTTGGGGATGACCCTAAAAATATGGGCACTCTTGGGCTTGGCCTAAGGCTTCTTGACTTTGACTCCATCCAAGAAGTCCTAGATGAGGTCCAATGCACCGTGGTCTCGGCCGTAGCCAATCACTACTTCGATGCCTACGTGTTATCCGAGTCCAGCCTCTTCGTCTACCCTACCAAGATCATCATCAAGACCTGTGGGACCACCCAGCTCCTCAAATCCATCCCTCCCCTCCTCCGCCACGCGTCGCTCGATCTCGGCCTCACCCTCTCCTCCTGTCGCTACACCCGCGGGAACTTTATCTTCCCCAGAGCCCAGCCTTTTCCATACACCAACTTCCAAAACGAGGTCGTTTACTTGGAAGAGTCTCTCCCCGCTGCTCTCTGCTACCGCAAGGCCTCCGTCATGCCCTCCAAAACCCCCTCGCATGCCTGGCACGTGTTCTCCGCGTCCACCCAGAACATGACGTGTCCTTTCGGAGACAGCGACGACGACGATTTGTACACCCTCGAAATCTGCATGACCGAGCTCGACCGCGACCTCGCCCGCAACTTCTTCCGCCGTCCCGGCGACGACAAGAACGGCGATTCCGCCGGCAAAGAGATGACGGAGCTCACGGGGATTTCCCAAATTAACCCTAGGGCTCTGATCTGCGACTTCGCATTCGACCCGTGCGGCTACTCCATGAACGGGATCGACGGGGATCGCCACTCCACGATCCACGTCACCCCGGAAGACGGCTACAGCTACGCGAGCTTCGAGTGCGTTGGGTCGGTCTACGACGACCGCGAAGACGTCGTTCGGATGCTGAAGAAGGTCGTCCAGGTCTTCCGGCCGGCGACAATGTCCGTGTCGACCACGTGCGCGAGCTACGAGGTGTGGACACGCGTCGCGGGGGCATTGGAGCCGCTGGGGTTCAAGTGCCGGAGCTGCGCCGCAGATGAGTTCCCAGCTGCCGGAACCGTCGTGTATCAAACGTTCGTGGATCGCCGGAGTAATAATTACAATAATAAATCGTAATTAAGTGGGGTTTTAAAATTTTAATTAGAAATTAGGTGAAAATTTTAGAGGGATCGGACGGCGGAGGTGCGAGACGATGATCAAAATGTAGAAAGAGAAAAGTGGGGATGTGGTGGGGATAAGTAGTAGAGATGATGTGGAAGCATTGGATGAAAAAGGGGGGGTTTGTTACTACTTGGGGTTGGGGGGTATGATAAGTAAGAGGTAGCATGATGATAATGCACCCCACTTAGGCATGTCACGCCTAAGATTTTGAGGTTTGTGGTGGTAGTCGTGGTAGTGGGGATTAAAAGTGCTTCTTTGTTGAGAGGTTTACTTGGAAGTTTTCTTTCTTCTATTCTCATCTCTTATTCTATTCATTTTCTTTCATTTCATTTCCTACTCCTCCTTTTGGGGATTTTTTTTTTCTTCTTCCATTTTCTTTGCCCTTCATTCCCTTCCCTTGTCTCCTTGTCTCCTTGTCCATGTGTTTTGTTGCTAATTAGTTCATCAAAGAACAAATCCCTTTTTACATGTCGATTATAAGTGCGGACTCGTGAATTTAACAGTGAATATTCAGACACGATCACGCATAAAATATATGGCCGTTTGGATGTTCGTTCTTACTTCGACAAGTGTACGGTGTAGATATTTGCGCCTAAACCGGCATGTTAAATATCGAATTTAAACCTTAAATTTCATTCAGCTCTTTAATATAAAGTTTACTCAATCTTGTACAACTTGGATCCTAAAGACTAACCTAGTTTGGACCATAAAACAACGTCATGCTAGAAAAATCCATTGAAATCTCTTTTATGTTTTGAATGCGTGGAGTGTCAAGCGTGGTTTGCATGCATGGGGTTGGATAAACTTTTCATGAACAAAATAATTCCTTCTTCATGATAATGCGCAATGGGGAATGAAGTCACGACCCCTCACTATGATGTCATCCAATAGTTCTTTGTCGCATGTAAATACAAAACAACAATTATTGTTTTCTTTATTTTTTGAAATTCTTCCTTTTTAGCTTTCACGTTTTAGAAAACATATAATTTGCACGTGATAATTATTAAGTTGATGAAGTTGTCGGAGCAATGAAATAGCTACAGGTAGAAAGGTGTGGAAGATGCTATAATTACTCACGACGAGTCGTTCTATGGTGAAGATGTCATATATAAATCATATATGTGAACATTCTTATTTGTCGCATGATTCATCTGAATAATAACTTCACTTAAGTTTAATGAAATGATCATGTGACTAATATGAAGGTTTGCATTAGGAGTCCATATATGATACCCTCACCATTGAATTTCGCAATTACTCACTAGGTTCGTATGATATGAAATTATTGCATACATTCAAGGGTTAAAAGTTTCTTCTGTCTTAAAATGGGTTCATTATCAATTTACCTTATCTTTTTGGCAACTGGCCTTGCTTTTGCTTCATATACATACATTCGTGTCGTGTACCAAATAAATTGATGAAATGCTGTAAATGGGTAATACTTTTTACAAGCCATTGCCCATTTCATCACAAAGACTTGTTTTAAGCCCGAAGGCCCAATTCTAACTGATAGTTTTTGGGCTGGACTAAATGGTAGATTCAACTCAAGTATGCTGTTGTTCATTCTAGCCTTTAAATTAACATCCTGCTTTTTGCAGGACATGAGACAGTCGGATGATCCGATTGTGTACGACCGGTGTCCGACTGTCTTACGTCTTACAAGACAGGATCCCATCTAAGAAGTGGCATGTTTGTTTTACCTTATCTTCAACAAACATAGTCTTACCATATATCAATTGAGGAGTTGTGTATCTGATAAATACTTATGTTGACATACTATGAATGTGAAACATGTTTTCATGTAAGATTCAGCTTTATTCATTGTCCAAATTCATAGTTTGGCAGAAAGAAAGTATACATTAAGATGATTAATTAACCAAGGAAGAAGAAACTTAACCCATCAATTTTTAGAGTTTTTAAATATCAAAAGCTGAGATTGTGATGGAGAAAAAGCTAGACATCGAAAGCTCATGAGAATGACAGAATCTAGTGGGACTCTTTATGGGTCATGCGACATGCGTTTGGTCCCCCAATCATCTTGAAAATCGAAATGAATTTCTACCCAACTCAACCCAACCCAACCCAACCCAAAAAGCAATTTTGGAATTTTCCTTGGCAACAAGGTTCAAGGTCTTCCTCACAAGTCACAGCAGCACCTGGCTGTCCATCTTGATTAGTATTCTCATACGAATTGAAGAAGAAACTTCCAATTTAAACAGATAAGGACGATGCTAAAAAGATATGCAATTACTAAACAGGTTTGGGGATAGCACCACATATTGGAACTTTGACTTTCAATTACAGGAAGAAAAAAAGAAGTCAATACTGACTGCAATAAATAAATAAAAACTTTAAATTCAAGATATTATCTTAAACATGCGTAATACGTTTTTCTAACACAAGCGATATTGGGGGAAAGAGAATCCGAAACCAGAACTTGAGGTGCAAAGTTAACCGCGCTCGGTACAAAGTCATTGCTAAATATGAATGGTGATGAAATCAGATGTTTCTTTCGTTTTCCCCTTTTCTTTTCTTTTCTTTCCGCAAAGCAACCTACCCTTTCTTTAAACCTTTTTCTTGGCTCCTCCCTCACCTTTGCGAAGATAATTCCATGCCAGAACCCCACGTGTTCGCGTTAGCACTTGCTTGATGCATTGCGTCTGATAACGTTTGCTTTCCGTTGATTTATTCCAAATTTTAAACTCAATTAAATCGCATTTTTGAATTTGGTGGTTTGCACAAGGCAAGAATTTATTAGGCTGCAATTTTAACGACTCAAATTCAAATTCGGTATTTATTTTATTTTATTGAAGAACATATTTTGTTAGATAAATTCAAACAAATACAACCATGTGTGCAAGACGGCAAATTGTTTTAAAATAATTTCAAGTATGGAACAAAAATTCTTTGCTTAGCATAACAATGTATTAACAAATACTATTTGAATTCTGAATTGAAAAAAAATTGTGTATTTTATGCATTAAATTACAAAAAAGGTCAGTAGCTTTACCTTACATGGTTTGGCGATTTCTTGGAACATGGGTTTCTTTCACACACACTAACCCACCCATGCACAAATAGAATCTCATTCTTCTCTCTCTCTCTCTCTCTCTCTGCCCTTATCTCTCTCTTGAAAGAAACCCCATTTCGTCACCATTTTGCAGAGTCACAGACACAGACCCCATCTTATTTGGACTGTTGCTTTCTTAGGGTTTCGCATTCTTGAATCTTTTAAAAAAAAACTCTGTTCTCTTCTTGAGCCCTGATCTTGTGCCCTCAAAAGAAAGTAGAATTTGTTTTTTTCTTCTCTGAAAACCTCACGTTCTGTTGTGTGTCAAGCCCCATTGCGTTGTGTGTGTTGTGATCAAAGAAAGACCATAAAGTTTTAACCTTTTTAACTTTATTCCTTTGGTCATTTGGGTTTGTGCTTTAGGGTTTTGTGTTGAATATCGTTTCTCGGTGGTGACGAGATTTGTTCTTTTCTGAGGAGAATTTTCCCGGAAAACCCTCTTTCTTTGAGGGTGGAAAAGGAAACACTCATGCAATTATCGTCTGGGAAACTTAATCCTCTGTAGTCGCAGCTCACAAGGTTCCATTTCTTAGTTCATTTTGCTTTTAGGGTTTTGTTCATTGTGCCTCAATTCTGGTTCTGAATCATGAGCTGTGCAGAGAATCACCACTTCCAGCGCCACAATGTCGAAATTCAAGGATACCCATTTCACCATTCCCACCAAGAATTGCATTTCAGTAGCTCTCTGCTTTTGGCCAGGCTCGGTTTCTTTTAGGCATTTTCTGAAACACCTGGGCTGCAATTGAACTGGAATTGAATTTCTTGGTTCTGTCTCTCTCATTTCTCTCCCTTTTAGGAGCCATGGGTTGTGTCCATGGCAAGTGTTGCGGTCGTTACCCCCAGTCTTCCGATGGTGATCTCCGGGACTTCAGAGACGCTGGTCCGTACAGTGCGCAAAGGAAGCACATACTCTCAGAGAGGTCATTGGAGCTCGTCCCTGTTCCTTCACATGACTTCCGTTTGGAGTATTCTCTGCTAACGCAGCGTGGTTACTATCCCGACTCGCCGGATAAGGAAAACCAGGACAGTTTCTGTGTTAGAACGCAAGTCAGAGGTAACCCAAATATCCATTTCTTTGGTGTGTTTGATGGGCATGGCCAATTTGGTACCCAGTGTTCTAATTTTGTTAAGGACAGGCTAGTAGAGATATTAGCAAATGATCCCACATTGTCAGCTGACCCTGTGAAAGCTTATAATTCTGCCTTTTTGACGACGAATTATGAGTTGCATAATAGTGACATTGATGATACTATGAGTGGAACCACGGCAATTACTGTGCTTGTTATTGGGAATACCCTTTATGTTGCGAATGTGGGTGATTCGAGAGCTGTGGTTGCAGTGAAAGATGGTAATAGAATTATTGCAGAGGACTTGTCTTATGACCAAACACCATTTAGGAAAGACGAGTATGGGAGAGTGAAGCTTTGTGGGGCCAGGGTTTTGAGTGTTGATCAAGTGGAAGGGCTGAAGGATCCGGATATCCAGACCTGGGGTGATGAAGAGAGTGAAGGTGGTGATCCTCCCAGGCTGTGGGTTCAAAATGGGATGTATCCTGGGACTGCGTTTACAAGGAGTGTAGGTGATAGTACAGCTGAGAAGATGGTGTTGTTGCAACTCCAGAGGTGTCAGTGCTTCAGCTGACACCTAATCATCTCTTCTTTGTTGTCGCAAGTGATGGGGTTTTTGAGTTCCTCTCTAGCCAAGCCGTGGTTAATATGGTATGCTCACATGACCCATTATAGAATGCAATAAAGATCTACTTATCTTCTTTTTAAGTGTATCAACCTTTTTTTTATTGATAACTTAGTTTGTCTTCATTTAGGCATTGATTTTGTTCTTGGCCTATTGTAGTTGAATTCCCGATTATGCGAATACCATGATCTCTTGCTGCTTTTAGTATTTTACTTTAGTTCATTGTTTTTAGAGTTTTGTAAATTTGATTGCTACACATTATCAATACCGAGGCAAATGGTTGTTTGTATATACTCATGTTCATATATGGTTATGATCAATTATGATTAGATAGCTCTATAAATGCAAAATAAGTATGGAAGAAACTTATATTGCCATCAGATAGTAACTTTTTATTTGGCATCTTAGGTATGTTGACAAGGCTATTATTTCATTGATATATCTATGGTGTTTATTGAGTCTGATCTCCAGATAACTACTGGCTGCGGTTTAGGCTTCTCATTTAGCATCATCATTAATGCTCTGCTCTGCTGTCATATTTGTACAGTAAGAATATAAAAAAGCAGCAATTGCTTGTATGCTTTCCCTCTCTAGCATCTGTAACTGTTAGGTCTTCTGATCCTTTACAGTTTATAGCTTACTAGCAGTTAGCATTTGAGGTAGTTGCTTTATTGTGTCCATATCTCATCTTATTACTCTGCATTCACTTCTACTTGGGTAATTGACTAATCTATTGATGGATTTAATCATGCCTGCATATTTGTGAGTTTCTTTATATGTGTAACTGGTTAGCATTGCCTTGGCTTCTTGTTTATTTCTTTATTCTTTCATACTCCACCAAAAGAATAAACATGTCGAACAATTTCTTCTCTTTATTAGTTTTTATTTCTATTTCCATTCTTCCTGCTTATGAATTTCCAAGCACCATTCTTCATACAGGCGGCAAAATATTCAGATCCTCGGGATGCATGTGCTGCCATTGCTGGAGAATCATACAAATTATGGTTGGAGCATGAAAACCGGACGGATGATATAACATTATCATTGTTCACATCAAAGGCTTGTCTAATGTATGAATTATGTAAACTTTCTGGATTTTTTACTATTTGTTTTTCAATCTTTCTTTAGGCCGAGCCCAATGTCCCTCTTATAAGAACTTCTGTCAGTCACTACAGTGGTATATGGTAAATGTTCTTGGAAGTGGGGTATGTTTTCCCGAGAGGGGATTTCAGTGGGCATGTTACAAGTTATACTTTGTTTGAGTAAAATTACCAGTGTACTAGTGGTTAAAGAATATATTTCTGTTGTTTGACTTCTATAATAAAATTGGGCTTTTTAAATGCTAAATTTCTAGTCATATGATGTAGCAGGGAGACACGACATAGGATTACATATGCCCCATGTCCAGGACAAAGGATTAAATTTAAAAGTTGACTGACTTCTTGATATTATCTGCAATTTGAAGGAATAGATAAACTACTCATTGCTATCCTGCTGCTTCTTCCTTTGCAAATGACACATACAGAATCCAATATTAGCTTTAGAGGGCATTGTTTTCCTATATACAATCTCTATTCATTGGCTTATTTACCAACTTTTTATTGTGTGTCCCACAGTCAGGTGGTGGTGTTACTGATGGAACAAGTGGGACAAATAATAGACCAGCAACAAGGCTGAGAAAAGTTTCTGAATCATCTGTTACCACTGGGTCAGAAGTTTTCCTTTCTGTGAGAAGTGATTCCTCAGAAGTACAGTCTTGTCAGCTTGTGCTTTCGATGAATCGGAGCCCAGCTATTGTTGTTCCATCGCCTGCATGTCAGAGCCCTTGGAGTTGGTAGGTCTTTTAAGCTGTTTTATATCATTTTGTGACTATTATGCTATCAGCTAAGCATTTACTTTTCCTCCATTGACTGCAGTGATTGATCTGGAAGGCCTTACTGAAGCTGCCACACATCTCGTTATTTTTCTTTAGTGGTATTTCTCCGCTTGATGTTGCCTTTAATCTTCCTTGTCAAATAGAATCCCCATCAAGTGTCTGCCTGGAGGACACTTTCTTTTTTCTCTCATCAAATTTGATCATAGAAATTTTTTTTGTTTGGAGAGCCAGTATTTAACCGATGCCTTCGTTGAAATACCTGACTCAAATTTTACTGATTGCAGGATGTGGGTTAGTGGTGCATCCAGTGATTAGCAGAAGCAGTCGGTTCTGCATACATATATATGAAGATGTTCCTGAATGCTAATCTCTAGGTTCCCTTGCTAATCTCACTAATGACAGTTTCTGACCATATTGTATGCCTGGAGAACATTCCTTCAGCTGTAACCTTTGCATCTGCTAATCCAAGCAATGGAGAGGGAGGAGATGAAATGAGAGTAGGAGGTTCCTTTACACGGAATTCATGGTCTTCATGTACTTAATCGTGTACAATTTTTAGCTTCAGTTGTGATTCTTCGTCTCTTAAAACTTAAAGATGATCAGTAGATATAATATATTGTGTATGTTACTCTCACTTCTCTATCTGTAAATGATTTCCTCTTCATATAAATTGCATTTTTAACTGCTTTAGGTTAAGGATGTAAACCCTGCAATCAGCAATGAAGAGGTTGCTATATTGATGCAGTGACAATAACACCTGCTGTTTAATTTCGTTAAAGATCAGAAAGAGGTGATGTTATTGGATGATGAATTTGAGCAATAATGTTGGCAGGCAGTTTGGTTCAATAATGTTGAGGTAGTAGATTGTCATGGAATGTGACCTTTCTTGATTGTTGTTTCCTCATTAAGTGACAAAACCCCGAATCGAGAGTGGCCTACATATATATGTCTTCACCTTTCTTAGCAACCTCATGTCTTATCCAAACAATGACTACTTTGTCCACAAGTTAGGGTAGGGGCAACCCCGCCAGCCAATTACTGGAAAACAAGTGCTCTATGATGGTGCCGTGCTTGCTTCACCTCCTTTTTGGGGACCATGCGTTGGCCAAAGGAAGAAAAAGAGTAAAGGAAGTGTGCATGCAGACGGGAAAAAATAATGAGTGCTAGGGTGGGTCGCGATGCAATCTCAGCTGTTCATGAGTGATGGTTTTGATGTGGGGTCTATAACTATCAATGGCTGAGATCAGATTGAGCGTAGGCGGCATTCGTAATCATCTTGCAACTGATGCTAGCATTTTCCAAAAAAGAATAGAAATTTGGTCAATGGCTAAAGGGCATGCATGCTGTCTAAATTTTTCGTACCAGTCCCGAGCTTCAAAATCGCCCTCAGGATCATAAAACGCGGGATATGGTATGGGTCATCTGGCATGATTTAGCAATGCTTGACATTTTAATCTTTGAACTTGTAACTTGTTTGTAGATTACGTCAAATAGAGGGAACTCAAACCGTGATTAAAAGTCGAGCAATACCAAGTCAAATAGAAATGTCAAACTCTCATAAGATGAGGAAATGGCATTGGAAATTAGTAACGACGCTTGAATCAGAAAAGGCAGGTTTGAAAATACTCTCTCACTTATCAAGAATTAATCTATTCTTTATGTCATCCATTTGAAGCTTAACCCTGAAACTCGTTTGACAGATGCAAGGCAGCTTTTACTTCAAATTTCTATTGTTACAGTTGTACAAAATTCTTACGAAAAAAAATTACTAGTACAAAATTATTAGCAGATCAGAAATAAATGGACAGCTTCTCGTGTATCACATTCTGTAATATGTTACACTGTTCTAACAACATGCTTAATTTTTCAGCTCCCTTTGTTACTTCTCCAGCCATCACTATTTCTCTGCCAGCATTCTCTAGTGTCCCATTTACGCGAGATGCATCATCTACCCTTGCTTGATCATCATGCATTAAACGTCTTTCATCCTCCATCTCCATCAAGTCATTTGTGTTAGGGGTCTCATGAATTTCACCATTGGGAGATGATTCAGGAAGAGTTCGATCAGCTTCTAGCAAAGCCTGATCTCTATGGGACAAAAGAGGGCTATAGCTAACAGCAATGACTTCATCCAGAGATGGCTGATCAAGATAATAAGGTGAAGGTCCGCTATCTTCAAGCCCCATCTTACCAAGGTTTCCAAAAGCTGTGTTAAGATGAGGACAGTCCAAGATATAAGCTGATGAAAAGGTACCACTGGCTAAACCCATTAACCGCCAGTTGAAGATTCGTCTGAAAATCATAACCCAATTCGGAACAATGTAGCAGCAAGAGTCATCGCGCTCAAGTCGACAACTTCTTTGCAACATTACATGTGCCTCTTTCATAGCAAGTGCAAGCCCCATCAACTTACTTGAATGTGTCAGGTATTCGATTAAGCCATTTTCAAGTTCAATTCTCAGGTTTTTAATCTCCTCTCCAGCATTACAACATCTGGGCAACCATGAAATATTGTCAGGAAAATCTGGAAGCCTAGAATCACCTAGAGCTGAAATTAATGGTTCAACTTTTTGCACTGCGCTCCATCCTATGCTTGGCAAGTACCACTTCACAAACCTGTACTCATCACTAAACTCCTCGAGTAAAGCAATCTCAGGGGAAGGCCAACTGCAAGGATTTTTCTGGACAGCAGCAGCAATTTCCTTCTGTGACCGACCCAAGGCTTCATTGAAGGCAAGGATACAGTTGTCTGGACCTACTTCATAATCTTTCATTTTGTCTAGTGAATCCAACGAAGAATTCAAGTGGCTAAGAATGAGTTCACGTGTTTTTACATGATGAAGAATGGGTTGAAGAGGTGATTCACTTGCAAGCCATCTGAGCCCCTCCCTAAGTGGCCTGTCGCTGAAAAACCCATCCACTTGTTCCGTTTGCTGGTTTCAACAAGGGGAACAACTAGAAAGCTGCTTATTCGTGACTTATCCAAGTCATGGAGACCCAAATTATCAACAATAGTGGAAGAAGGATCTGCAATGTCGTTGTATGAGCCGCTTAAGATCAGAAGGGGCAAGCAGGAACCATAAGGTATTGATGTCAGAAGGTTATGGAGCTGGACTTTTTGCAATTTCCAAGGGAGGCTTTCAGATGTAAGGAACAAAATAGCACTTGCACCAGATACAGTTTCAATTAGATTATCAAAATTTGCATCCTTAACCACAGACAAATAGCAGGTCATATCTGAACCAGATTGGCCAGGAATCCATTTCTTCCATATTGACACACCAGGAGATGAAATTACGAGATCATCATCATCGTCGTCCACATCATTTTCCAAAGGCATGAGCTTTGAAAGCAACCATGGGGCTGCTCCCAAGACATGGCTCCTCTGTCCCAGTTCACCTTCTAGATTGTTCATCTGGGAACATACAACAGTTTTCCAACAGAGGCATCTAGCGTCTGGGTTTCTTCTCCCTAGTATATCTGCTATTACATCTGAAACATTAAGTCTTGACCATGATTTTCCTTGCTTTTTATATCTCTCCCTCAAAATGAGATCAATGTCAAACTCACCAGATGTGCTCAGTTGCTACAAAACAGAAAATAAAAATATGTCAAGGCTGAGATAAATCATCGGTTAGATTTCTTTCCTACACTATGTTCCAACAGATGTAAACACAATTCTTCTAGGTAAACAAGCAAAAATAAAAACTGCACACATTTAATGATGGAAGATTGGGTAACTGAGTAAGAGATTTAGGATGAAAAGGAAGGGGTTCAAGTAGGTAACTTTTCTATAATTCTTAGCCAAGTGTTACACTATTTTGTGAAGATGGAGAGATGCACAAGTGAAATCTCCTCATTTCTATTTGAGATGAAAAAGAACCCAAAAAATTGAGGCGTGAACAAGAAAATCAAAATACTTTTTCTTTATTTGATAAGAAAAAATGGTTTATTAAGTGATGAGAAAAGTACATCAGTGGACAAGAAGTGTAAGACAACAGTATAAAAAGAAACAAAAAGAAACAATCTCTAAAGAGCCACAAATTTTTATCATCCTTCCCCAACAAAATCATTGAAGCATGCTTGATTCCACATCAATAATCACCTAACTACAGCTTCACAATCAGCATCAACAAGACAGGAATATCTCTAAAATCCGCAGCTACCAAAGCTCATAAAAACAAACTTGCAGAACAAAGCAGACAGGTAAACCTCTAGTTTCAAAAAATTGAAAAAGCTTACATCTGTCTTCAGTTGAACTGGTGGCCCCAATGATAAAGAATTCAATGCAGCGTTTGCTGCTAACTGCTTTTGTTCTCGCAGTTCCCTTAGCTTCAGAGAACGCCGCTTCCATAACCTGGAGAGAAAAAAAGTGGGAACATGAAGGGACATGATAAAATAGCCTCAACATCCAGCAAGAGAAGTACAAGAAGCTAAAGTACCTTAGTATCAACTTGAGTTTTGCCTCAGCAATTTCTTCATGTTGATCAGTTGCCATATCATCAATATTTTCATCTTCCTGATCAAGATCTGGAGGTTCCTCATCTTCCACCTTATTAATGACCGGAATTTTTCTGATTGGATGTTCCACACCGTAACTATATGTATCAACTGGAGATCTATCTTGCAGAGCTGTTTTTGACTCAATATGCAATGGCATTCCTTCCATGCCAGAATGCATGCTTTTCTCTGGAGAGTTACTGAAAAGAGAATCATAGTTCGGCTTCTCCATTGTACCAACTTTATCAGGCTGGGGTTTAAATGATGAGAAAGCCCATGGGGAAGGAGGGACAGCAGCCATCTGTTGGGGATGTTCAGTGTATTGACCAAGAATTGGTGTTTGAATTGTTTGCTGCTTTTGTCTGTAAATTTCTGGAGATGAAAAAATAGGTGTTTGAATCATTTGCTGCTTTTGTCTGACATCTTTTGGGGATGAAACAGCTTCAAAATTAGGCATTTCTTCATCAACTTCATGGAAGGATTTTATTACTCCAACCGCTGGGACATCATGGACAGGACTTTTCCTTTCAGCATATGAAACAGTTTTTGGGTCAGGCTTATTTTTCTTAATAAGCTGAATCTCATTTGTTGCTTCAGTCGACAAGGATATGAGTTGAGTAGAAGTCAAAAGATCCTTGATTATGCTTCTTGACTTTTTCATATCAACAAGCTTAGAACACTTGGTAGGATAGTCCTCATCACTATTGAGAAATGGGCCCTCCTTCACCATATATGGCTCTCGAAATGACTTTATTACAAACCCATGATACTCTGAAAGGCTTTCAATTTCCTCTTCCTAATGTCAATCATCAAAGCACAAGCATAAGATAAAATGAAACAGTTCCTCTTTCCCCCAGAGGGTGCAAAATGGAATTCTCATCAAACCAAAGAAGGGTACCTCCAATGCTAGCCACTTGGCAATATCGGAAATAGGGATCCCTTGATTATTTTGAAGACCTGCATGCACAGAAGCAAGTGCCTGGCTTCGTAACTGGTCAAAACGGCAAACATTGTTAGATAAAGGTACCAGCAAAAAAATCTA